TAAAAATTTCTACAAGGGCCCTCAACCGTGTCTGACCCATCTCCCGCACTTCCGCCCTTACCCCTTCTCTTCCCTCTTGCAACAGCAATGGGGTTCCCCTCATCCTTACCTACCATCCCACCAGCATTCACATCCAGAAGATCATCAGATGCCATTTCCGCCACCTTCAGCGAGATGCCACCACCATTCCCATCCCCTCCCTTGTCCACCTTCTGCAGGGACCGTTCCCTTCGGGACACCCTGGTCCACACTTCCTTCACTCCAAACACCCCCACCGCACCTTCCCCTGTAACTGAAGGTGCAACACCTGCCCATTTACTTTCTCCCTCCCAAGGGCCCAAATATACCTTCCAGGTGAAGCAACACTTCACCTGCACTTCCCAGAATCTAGTCTGCTGCAGTCGCTGCTCACAATGTGATCTCTTCTACATGGGGAAACGAAGCGTAGACTGGGTGACCACTTCACGGAAAATCTACATTCTGCTCACAAAAAAGACCCTGAGCTACCTGTTGCCTGCCACTTTAATACACCACCCTGTTCTCTGGCCAACATCTGTCTCTGGCTTGCTGCAGCATTCCAGTGAAGCTCAATGCAAGCTGGAAGAACACCACCTCATTTTCCGCTTGGGGACCCTGCAGCCCTCCAGACTCAATAATTGAGTTCAATAATTTTAGGGCCTAACCACTCCCACGTCCTAGCTCCCTACCTCACACAACAGGCCTTATCACATAGCTTGCTATTACATACCACCTGTTGTTAGTCACTAACAGTCCCTATTAACAGCTATTCACCCTCCCAGCAGATCATTATCAACTCCTTTGTCTGTCCAACTGTTCTTCTCTCTCTTTAGGCTCTATCCTATCATTTATTTCCTACCCCAAACCCCCCTCCCTATTTTCTGCATATGAACTGAAGTTTTCCCAGCTACCATCAGTTCTGAGGAAGGGTCACTGGATCCAAAACGTTAACTCTGATCTTTTCTTCACACATGCTGCCAGACCTGCTGAGCTTTTCCAGCAACTTCTGGTTTTGTACTCGAACTCAGGACATGGTTGGGAACATGGGACTGGGTATCATAGCAATTAGAGACATGGTTCAGGGATGGACAGGACTGGCAGTGTAATGTTCCAAGGTACACATGCTACAGGAAGGATGGGGGGGGGCCCAAGAGAGGAAGGGAGGTGGCGTTTTTGATTAGACATAACATTACGGCTGTACTTTGGGAGGATATTCCTGTGAATACATCCATTTGAGTGGAACTGAGAGATAAGAAAGGGATGATCACCTTATTGGGATTGTACAGTAGAACCCCAATAGTCAGCAGGAAACTGAGAAACAAATTTGTAAGGACATCTCAGTTATCTGTAAGAATAATAGGGTGGTTATGGTAGGGGATTTTAACTTTACAAACATAAACTGGGACTGCCATAGTGTTAAGGGCTTGGATAGGGAGGGATTTGTTAAGTGTGTACAAGAAATTTTCTGATTCAGTATGTGGATGTTTCTACTAAAAAAGGTGCAAAACCTGACCTCCTCTTGGGAAATAAGACAGGGCAGGTGACTGAGGTGTCAATGGGGGAGCAGTTGGGGACAGGCGACCAGAACTCTATTAGTATTAAATTAGTGATGGAAAAGGATAGACAGGGTCTAAAAATTAAAGTTCTAAATTCTAAGACGATACGAAGGTGGGTCAAGTTGTGGATAGTGCAGAGGGCTGTTCTAGGTTTCAAAGGGACATTGATAGGATGCAGAGCTGGGCTGAGAAGAGGCAGATGGACTAGATCAGGTATACCCTAGAACTCTGTGGGAAGCTAGGGAAGCGACTGCTGCGCCCCTTGCTGAGATACTTGTATCATTGATAGCCACAGGTGAGGAGCCTGGAGGCTGGCTAACGTGGTGCCACTATTTAAGAAAAGGTGGAAAGGAAAAGCCAAGGAACTATAGACCGGTGAGCCTATCATCGGTGGCGGGTAAGTTGTTGCAGGGAATCTGAGGGACAGGATTTACGTGTTTTTGGAAAGGCAAGGACTAATTAGAGATGGTCAACATGGCTTTGTGCGTGGGAAATAGTGTCTCACTAACTTGATTGAGTTTTTGAAGAAGTAACAAAGAGGATTGATGAGGGCAGAATGGTGAACGTGATCTATATGGACTTCAGTAAGGCGTTTGACAAGATTCCTCATGGTAGGCTGGTTAGCAAGGTTAGATTGCACAGAATACAGGGAGAACTAGCTATTTGGATACAGAACTGGCTCGAAAATAGAAGACAGAGGGTGGTTACTTTTCAGACTGAAGGCCTGTGACCACTGGTATGCCACAAGGATCAGTGCTGAGTCCAATGCTTTTTATCATTTATATAAATGATTTACATGTGAATATAGGAGGACTCCAAAACTGAGTTAAATGATCTTCACTGTACACTACACAACCAGAGTACAACAGGGCCTTGATTAGATGAGCCAATGAGCTGAGGAGTGGCAGATGGAGTCTAATTTAGATAAATGTGAGGTGCTGCATTTTGGAAAGGAAATCAAGGCAGGACTTATACATATAATGGTAAGGTCCTGGGCAGAATTGCTGAACAAAGAGACCTTGAAGTACAGATTCATAATTCCTTGAAAGTGGAGTCACAGGTAGACAGGATGGTGAAGGAGGCATTTGGTATGCTTGCCTTTATTGATCAGTGCAATGAGTATAGGAGTTGGGTCACATTGTGGTTGTACAGGACATTGGTTTGGCCACTTTGAGAATAGTGTATGCAATTCTAGTCTCTCTAAAACAGATTTACAAGGAGGTTGCCAGGGTTGTAGGGAGAGACCGAATAGGCTGGGGCTATTTTCCCTGGAGTGTTGCAGGCTGAGAGGTGACCTTATAGAGGTTTATAAAATTATGAGGGGCATGGATAGGGTAAATAGACAAACTCTTTTCCCCAGGATGGTGGAGTCCAAAAACAGAGGGCATAGGTTTAAAGGTGAGAGGGGAAAGATTTAAAAGGGACCTAAGGGGCAACTTTTTCACACAGAGGATGCTGCGTGTATGGAATAAGCTGCCAGAGGAAGTGGTGAAGGCTGGTACAATTACAACATTTATAAGGTATCTGGATGTGTATATGAATTGGAAGGGTTTGGAGGGATATGGGCCAAATGCTGGCAAATGAAACTAGATTTATTTAAGATATCTGGTTGGCATGGACGAGTTGGACTGAAGGGTCTGTTTCCATGCTGTACATCTCTATGACTTTATCTTAGCCAAAAGTCCACGAGGTCCTTTCCCAGAATGCAAACAAATCGATGTCTCAGCAACCTCAGCCTGGATATTGTCGAGGCTGCAGTGCAACATGTTGATCAAACATTTTCCACGATAGGGCTCTTAACTTTAGGTATCAACACCTCAAGAGTTATGAGTAGCATCTCACTGCTATACATGCAGGAATAGGATTAAATAATCCTAAAGGTGACCATATACACATTTTAATCGAGGAGCTCAAAAATTGCATTAATAGCCTGAACAATCAGCTGTCATGCAATCCCACCTTCAGTACTTAAAAAAAGTACTGAAGCTATTGGAAACTGATTTCCTGTCACATTCATTTCAATTGCTTTAGATTCATCTGTTAATAGACCAAAATAATATTGTGACAATTTAGCCAAATAAATCAGCATTGAACCAGACCGTTTTTTACTCTCATCAGATAGGGCTTCTATACCACTCTTAACTGCAAGCAATATCCTTGTAGAATTGCTACTGATTTATAAGAACATTTTTTAATATAGTGCCTTTCCCATCCTCAGGACAGCCCTAAATGCTAAACAGTCAATGAATTATTTTTGAAGTGTCGTCACCATTGCACTATAGGTAAGTGCTACAGGAATTTGCTCTTAGCAAGGCCCATAATTTTCAAGGATGAGTTAGAATGGGAAAAATACTTTTCTTTGAAAGACACAAATAGCAAAGAGATAAATTTTAACGTGGTTCTGATGTTGCAGGATAACTCCAAGTCAGCACACCAATAGAAATCCTCTACCCTGTTCCAAAAGTACGATGAGATCCAATATATCTACCTAAATAGGCAGAGGATCCCTTTTGTTTAAAACACCATGTAAAAAGGTGGCACTTCAAAAACTGAAATGTCCAGCTGGATTATACATTAAAGTCTTGACGGCTTCAGAAACTATAAACTTTTCAAAATAAAATTTATTTTCCTGTGTGTTACCTGAACAAATAAACTTTACCAAAAGGTAGAAGTGAAATAATGTTATTTTGTTTACAGTTCCCTCTTCTTTACGACAAAGTATTTGAAAACGTAATATATTTTCTTGTTTTCTATTGTATATTCAGTAAGCAGCTCTACAACTTATTTTCACTGCAAAGATGATAAAGCTCATGCATTTTACAGCCACCACCTCAATCAAAACCAAGCTGAGCTTTGGAAAATAATTGTAAGGCATCCCAACCAGTCAGAATATATTGCTTTACATACCTCAAATTTAAAATCATTTAGAATACCAGTTTTTAGTGACAAAACAGGATTCTATATACATAGATGTGTTAGTAAAGCAGCAAACTATTTTTTCTTTCTGAATATGGGGTCACTGGCATTTATCTTTAGACTTTAAAAACTGGTGTGGGACTGGAAGCATACACAATGGAGACCACACAAGGATGACAGCTTTCTTTCTAGAAAAAAAGTCCTCAAAGAACCATGTAAGTGTTAATTATATTTTAAACCGCTTTAGCATATTAATTCCAGAATTTGTTTTTTGAATAACTAAATTCAAATTCTTAAGTAACCATGATGTGATTTCAACTTTCACGATCTGAAATAATTTGATCTTTGTTTAGTCATCCATTAATAGAAGAATTACACCAGGGGTACTTCACATTTGAATTTTTAGGAGGAACTACACAAAATATAATGTATCCTACATAATGCAGAAAGTGAAAAGACAAATTCCAGATGTACCAACTATATGGTGCAATAGAAATATTTCACACATACCTAATACAGTGCCAATTTTATTTGTGAGAACAGAGTCAGTCTGGTCGAGCCAGCCTCCTCCAGAAAGCCCTTCCTTAAACTTGGCAAGGATCGACTGGTTGCTCAGCAGTACAACAAGAATTCTCATTGCTGCAGTGACAGTAGTGGGATGCAGGTGCTCTTCCATGAACATCAGAAGCCAGTCAAAACCCCAAATCTTCACCAATTCTTCACATGCTCTGTGGTTTCGTTTTGTAGGTGTGTTTTGAAAAGAAAGAATTAATCAAGTAAGCTAATATTTCAATCTAGAAGGTGGGTAGAAATTTGTTTTAATGAAAGCTGCCTTACATTTCAAATAACACAAACTGCTTAACCATAAACGTTGGGCCCTTGTGAAGACTGAGTGGCCAGGTGCATACAAAATAAAACAGAGTTTCTCTGTACTAAGCTGCTAATTGGTATTTACATGTACCGTGGAGGTGAAAGTTCAGCTGTCGCTGCACATAACAGCCTAACTAAGTCCTGAAGAAGGGTGCTACCTGAAACATTGACTTCTTTCCTCAGGATGCTGCCTGGCTTGCTGTGTTCTTCCAGCCTCCTGTTTGTCTACCTTGGATTCCAGCATGTACGGTTTTTTTTGTCTCTACCTAAGTAACTAGCTACCTGGGAAAGCTGAGAAAGTTGGCAATGATTTAATCTTAAACTTAGGTTTGATGGAACAGAAATACATCATACCTCTAATGGAGCACACATCAATGATTTTATTTCCTCATATTAAGAACAATTAATATGAAAAATGACATTAAAAATATTGCTTGAATGTTCTAAAAAGACAAGTAGAAATTTTGAAGAATGATTTACAGTAAAACTGATTTTCAATTTGAAATTCTCCCACTGCTACTTAATCCACCCACAGAGATCACACTAATATTAGTGTGTGATTTTTACTTGATATGCAGTACAAGGTAATAAAATTAGACAGTGGGCAGTGTGTATTGCACAGGGTCTCAGAGACATTATATATAGATATCCAACAATTACAGCAAACTGCGGTTCAAGCAATACTTACTGTGGATTAACACTGTTCTTCTCTTTTGAAGTATACAATAACTTTAGCAAGATATCCAGAAGTCTGTTTCTCAATAGAATGGTATTAGCTGAAACAAGGCCACCCAAGTCATCATCGACACCTGACAAACATGAAATATACAAATCTTCAAAACTCATCTCTAGGATAGTCTTCAAATAAACAATACTTTTACATACTGCTCAAGGCTTGGAATGATTCAACTATTAGTTAACTATTATTAGTTAGCTACAAAAAGAAACAGAGATGGGGTATAAAGGAAGGTATCAGTACAATGTTGAGAACGATATAGGTGCCACAGACAGTGATGACAATTCAGTTTCAGTGGAATTAAGAAATAGCAAGGTAAAGAAATCACAGTTTGGAGTCATCTATAGACCAATGAAGAGTTATATCATTGTCGAACCAAGTACAAATCAGAAGATGGAGGCATGTTAGAAGGGCACTACAAAACCTTCCTGGAAACAGGCTATTTTAGAATTGTGTGTAATGAGTTTGCATTAATACGTGATCTTGTCGTTAAGCATTCTCTAGGGGGTAGAATTTTAAATTCAGTTTGATGGAGAGCAATTTGCGTCTCAAACCAGTGTCCTCAACTTAAATAAGGGCAAGTACAGAGGTATGAAAGAAGAATTGAATAAAGACCATTGGGAAAATAATCGAAGGGGAAGACTGTGCATAAGCTGTGGGAGACATTTAAGTCGATATTTCACAACACAGCAAAAATATATTCATGTCAAAAAGAACCTACCGAGAAGGATGAATACACATGGTTCACAAAAGGTGGTCACAAGTGAAACTAGTGGCTTATACTAGCCAGAGGATTGGAATATTTTTTGTTTTTAGAAAGCAGCAATGGATGCTTACAAAGTTAATAAAGAAAGAAAAAAATTATCATAGTTAGTTAAGAAATAGAAAAGCAAACTGTAAGAGAATTAATAACAATGTCCATGGAAATGGCAGATACCTTAAAACAACATTTTACATCAGTCTACACAGTGGAGGACACTATAAACATTCCAAAGATAACAGATAGCACAGTGTTAATGCTAGGAAGAATCAAAAGGCAGATTATTTAAATGCAGAAAGAGTCTAAACAAGTGTAGTGCAGAGGGATCTAGGTGTTCTTGTGCATGCAACACAAAGGTAGCTTACAGATGGGGCATGTAATTTAGCAGGAACATGAAACTTGCTGGTGAGTCAAATTTTAAACAAGGAAGTCATGTTACAACTATACAGGGTGTTGGTGAGGGTGCACCTAAAGTACTGTATAGAGCCCTTGGCTTTAACTTGGAGCCAGTTCAAAAGAGATTCATTAGATTGATTTCTGGGATGAAGGGGTTGACTTTATCAAAAACAGCTAACACGACAGGCATTTATTCATTAGAGATTGGAAGAATGAAGGATGATTTTATGGAAACGTGCAAGGTTGATGAGGGTGACAGGGTAGTTGTTGGGAAAATGTTTTCACTAGTGAGGGAATCTCAATAGATTTTTGAAATATCGTGGAGATGAGGGCTATGATGAGCCAGCATGAAAGAAGTGTTGAGGCCTGGGATAGAACTGTTGATTGATAGGAGAGGACTGATGGGTCAAAAGGCCTATTCCTGCTCCAATTTCTTACGCTTCTTGTATACCATGCGGATATTCAGTGAGTTGACAAGCACCCATGCATACAGAATAGAAAATATAGATTTTTAAGTAACAGAGCTATATTGCAGAGCACATTCTATTGACAAATGCATTCTTATTTATAAAAACACATTTTAACTCTTCTTGACTGGTTTTGACAAATTGGACAGTTCCAAAGGGTTTGTGCACAGTTTACGCACAACCTTCTCTGCAATCAATTGTCCCCAAAGGGAGCCTAATCGTTACTTACAAAGGATGCTTGGTGCACTCCAACCCCCACAGAAGTCAGCCTAATCCTCTGTCGCAGGGCATCTTGCAGAGGTATCGCAGTTCTCCAGAGGGTTTCCTGGCCATCCAAATTAAATGCACTGAGAAAAGACATGGTCCTACCTGGTCTAATCTCTACAATGCAGGTACCAGACACCACGAACTCCAATATCCAATTTCATCATCAGCAATCATTTAAATGACCTTTAGGAGGCATGCTTATAGAAACACAGAAACGTAGAAGATAGGAGCAGGAGGCGGCCATTTGACCCTTCGAGCCTGTTCTGCATTCTTCACGACCAGGCCAATTGTCCAACTCAATAGCCTAATTCGGCTTTCTTCCCATAACCTTTGATCCCTTTTGCCTCAACTGCTTTATCTAGCCGTCTCCTGAATACATTCAATGTTTTGGCATCAACTACTTCCTGTGGTAATGAATTCCTCAGGCTCATCACTCTTTGGGTGAAGAGATGTCTCATCTCTGTCCTAAGTGGTTTACCCTGAATCCTCATACTGTGACCCCTAGTTCTGGACACACCCATCGGGATCATCCTCCCCGAATCTACCCTGTCCAGTCCTGTTAGAATTTTATAAGTCTCCATGAGATCCTCCCTCATTCATCCGAACACTCGCAAAAATGAACCTAACCTAGGTCAATCTCTCCTCATATGTCAGTCCCGCCATCCCCAGAATCAGCCTGGTAACCCTTCGCTGCACTCCCTCATTCCTCAGAAAAGCATCATTCCCCAGAAAAGGAGACCAAAACTGCACACAATATTCTAGGTGTGGTCTCACCAAGGCCCTATACAACTACAAAAAGGCATCACTGATCCTGTACTCAAAACCTCTCGCAATGAAGGCCAACATACCAATTGCCTTCTTTATCACCTGAATGCTTACCTTCAGCAACTGGCACACAAGGATGCCTAGGTCCTGCTGCACACTCCCCTCTCCCAATTTAGTCATTCAGGTAATAACCTGCCTTCTTGTTTTTGCTTCCAAAGTGAATAACCTCACATTTATCCAAAGTATACAGTATATCTGCCGTTGTATTGCCCACTCACCCAACCTGTCGAGATCATGCTGAAGGATCTCTGCATCCTCGTCATAGTTCACCCTCCCACCCAACTTGGTATCATCTGCAAACTTGAAGATATTACATTTTGTTCCCTCAACCAAATCATTAATATACGAACAATGCATCACCACCAATCCCTCTTCCATGAAAATGAGAAGTGCAGGTCCACATTTCACTTGTCTAATCTAACTATGTAATTAGGTCTTCCTTCTTTATGATCCTTAACTTCCAAATTGGACTCCAAGTTTAAGAAATTCATGGATTTGTCAATTTCCACAGGTATGCCGATTACATTTAGTTTATTTACTCTCCAGCTATGAAAAATCTATTGCTACTCTTTCCAAAATTCTTGACCAATATCAGAACCCAGTTGAGCCAAAACTTTCTCCAAGTTCATGGAGGCACCAAAGAAATGAGCATACTTCACTTGCATCAATATCTATGTGCTCTTGGCTTTTATCAATTTCTCTGTTGTCACCTCAGATTAGATCAAGTCATGTAGAAAGTTGATATAATGGTTGACTTTATATATCCTTCACCATTACTATAATGACAAGACACTGCTGTATGAGGATGGTCCCCTTAATTAATCTGTTTAGAAGCATACTACAGTATTCCCCCTCCAACCAATTAGAGCAACTCATTATTTCTTAAATTCACCCAGGGATTTTGTTGCCCCTGTTCAATCTGGAATTTTATTTCAACTGTTAATTAATCTTTATTTGGGGAATTTCTTTATAATTGATCTTAAATTAGTTCCGACTAGTTAGAACTTTCTTCTCCATGTTCCACTCCCACAGTTTGAAGTAAAGATCCAGATGTACCTTTGCCAGATTATTTATCCCTTTACAAACCATACAAGATCACTTCATCAATAGTTTCAATCTAGGCTGAAAAGTCTAAGCCTCTAAAGCATTTCTGTATTTCTCGGACTCCTGACACCAGGAATCAGGCATGGTTCTTTTCTGGACTTTCACCTTGTGGCTCAGAGATCAAGTATGGATACAGTATTAATTAGTTGTCTGACCAGCGTACTGCAGACTGTGATTGCTGAATTATATTCAATTATTTGGCTATATAGTGCAGAATTCTTCAATAGTAGACAGACAAAAAAGTGTTTTTCTTCAGATTATCTCACACTTACGTTGATTCAGTGCTATTTTCACATTACACTATAGATGCAACTTTAGTGCAAGGGCACATCAAGTCACATAAGCACAAATTAAGTTTAAGTTTAAGTTTAAGTTTAAGTTTAAGTTTAAGTTTAAGAAACACCCAAGCAGCCCTGATCTGCCTTTCAAACCTCTAGGCCTAGGACAGGAGGAAACAGAGACAGAGAAAAAAGCCAAATTAAAATGGCCAGGTTAATCAAATATTAGAATAAGTCACATAGTCAACATACAAAAAAATTTTAAACTAGAGTATGTGGCTCACCTTCTTCCTTTTCCTCATTTTTGGCTTCCATGATAATAAACTTCTCACAGACTGCAAAAGTAGGCAACGTAGAAGACAAAAACTGACCGAACCTTGACACAAAAAGAAGTGGAAATTAACAAATATTTATCTGCAAGATTGGAATATCAAAGGCACTTTTAACCATCTACTGTAATGTGCTTGTTTTCACCATAACTTTAGTTGGGTAACTAACATCATCTTGCTTCCCTGGTTTTCTTCAAGTCACCCTTAACCATCAACTGTTGCCAGGATAAGGTCAGAAAAGGGGATGATCACTGATAATCGCACAATGTTTAGTACCATTTGCAACTCCTTAGTCCTTAAGGAGATGATAATTCATGACTCTCGGTAAAAATATATCCCAGTAAGGAGGAAAGATATTATGAGAGGGATAAACCAACCATGGCTAACCAAGGAAGTTAAGGAGAATATTAAGCTGAAAGAAAAAGCATATAAAAAGGTGTCCAAAGTCAGTGATAACACTAAGGGCTGAGGTAAATTCAGAATCCAAAAGGAGCAGTAAGAATATAATGAAGACAGAGAAAATAAACTACGAGGGCAAACTAGCAAGAAATATAAAAACTGCCAATAAAAGTTTCTTTAAAAAGGAAGACGGGGTGAAGGTGAACATAGGCCCCTTAGAAAATGAATCTAGGAAGATGGCTGTGGGGAACAAGGAAACGGCAAAGGCAATAAACAGATATTTTGCAACAGTCTTTACAATAGAAGATACTTTGAACATCCTCTTAATACTGAAGAATACAGGGAAGGAATTAAGTATCATCACCACCATTAAAGTAGTAGTATTAGACAAACTAAAGGCAGATAAGACCCCTGGCCAGACAAGTTGCATCCTAGGATCCTGAAAGTAGCAGCAAAGATAGTGGATACATTGGTTGTAATATTCCAAAAATTCTTGAATTCTGGAGAATTACCAAAGGACTGGAAACTGTTAATGTGACAACCCTATTTAAAAAAGGGAGGAAGGCAAAAAGCGGCTAATTATAGATTGACTAGCCTAACACCTATTATCGGTAGAGAATTGGAATTTATTAAGGAAGCAACTGCAGAACATTTGGAAATCATAATCTAATGAAGCCAAGTCAACATGGCTTCCTCAAAGGGAAATGTGTCTTACTAAGTTATTAGTGTTTTTCAAGAAAGCCTGACCAGATTGGATAGAGGGGAACCAGTAGATGTATTATATTTGGCAATCTAGAAATCATTCAACAGGTTAAGTTAGAAGAGCCCACAGTGTCAGTAGTAGTATATTGGCTTGGATAGAGAATTAGCTCACGGGCAAGAAATAGCAAGGGGGGATGAGGAGTGCTTTTTTTAGGTTGGCAATCCATGACCACTGGGGTTCCAAAGGGATCAGTGCCAGCTTCATAACTGTTTACAATAGCTATTAGTGACTGGGAGGAGGGAAGTGAATGTAGTGTAGCCAAATTTGTAGACAACACAAAAATAGGTGGAATAGTAAGTTTTGAGAGGGATACAAACTGTTTACAGAGAAATGTTATCAGGTTAAGTAAGTGGGCATTCAGGTGGTAAATGGGGTATAATACGGGAAAACATGAAGTTGTTCATTTTGGAAGTTAGAACAAAATAACAGAATATTATTTAAATGGTAAAAAAAAACCGCAGAAAGCTGCAACATGAAAGCAATTTGGGAGAACTTGTGCATGAAACACAGAAAGCTAGCACACAGGTGCACCAGGTGATCAGGAAGGCGAATGATTGTTGGCCCTTACATCAAGGGGTTAGAGTATAAACAGAGGGAAATCTGACTGCACCTATATAAGGTGCGGGTAAGACCACATCCGAAGTATCATGAGCAGTTTTGGTCTCCTTTTTAGGAGAAGATATTGTTTCATTGGCAGCAACTCAGAGAAAGTTCATTCGGATTTTCCTCAGTGTGGAGGGATTGTATAATGAGTAAAGGCTAAACAGCTTGGAACTCTACACACGGGAGTTTAGAAGAATGAGAGGTGATCTCACTGAAATGTATGGGAATCTTAAGGGGCTCAAAAGGGTAAATGCTGAGGGAATGTTTCCCATCATGGGGGATTCTAGGATCAGAGGGTATAGTCTCAGAATTAAAGGATCCCACTTTAAGACCGAGATGAGGAGCAATGTCTTCTGAGGGTCGAGAATCTTTGGAATTCTTTGCCACATAGAGCTGTGGGTCAGAGTCCAGAGTCCTTGTGTATATTTAAGGCTGAGATCGATAGATTCTTGATTAGTAGAAGGATCAAAGGTTAAGGGGAAAAGGCAGGAAAATGGATGAGAGAAAATTCAGATGACCTATGATCCTGCAGAATGGCAGAGCAAGCTCAAGGGGCCAAATGACCTACTTCTGTTTCCAGTTATTATGATCTTACGATCTTAAGTCCATGTAATATTCAGCAAGAACTGGACAACATTTAGGCTTAGCCCAATAAGTGACGAGGAACATTTGCCAGCCAATGACAATTTCCAAGAAGAGTATCTAATCATCTCCCCTGACATTCAATGACATTGCTCTCACAATCCTCCACTATCCAGTTCCTAGGTCTTACCATTAACCTGAAAAATGAACTGGACAAGCTACATAAGTCTTGTGGCTACAAAAGCAGGTCAGAAACTACGAAATCTGCAGCAAATAACTCATCTCCTAACTTCCTAATGCCTGTCCATCATTTGCAAGGCACAAGTCAGGAATGTGACGGAATACTCTTACTTGTCCGAATGAGCACAGTTCCAACGACACTCAACACGTTTGATGCTATACAAGAAAAGGCAGCCCAGCTTAACTAGCACACCAACACCTTAAACACTAATTCCTCCATCACTAACCACAATGGCAGCAGAGGGTACCATCTACAATTGTGCACCAACCAAGTTTTTTGCATCTTCTAAAACTGCAACCACAATAGCTTAAGCAAGAACAGCACATGATCATCACCACCCGAACATTTTGCTCCATGCTACGTATCATAGTGCCTTGGGAGGATCTCATCATTCATTCACTGCCACTGGGTCAATATTCCAAACTCTGTTCCTAACAGCCCTGTAGGTGTATTTGCACAACATAAACTCCAGTTAAATAAGGTAGCTCACCACCATGTTCTCATGTGCATTTAGGGATGGCAAAAAAAAAAGCTGATCTCACTAGTAATGACCAAGAAGAAATATAAAAATCACTAGAATCCTAACAATCAGGGTCTTCGTACACATTCGTACAATTTTGCACTAAGAAAGTCAATCTTGAGTTTTCTTTATGTGCAATATTTACGGTCCAAGGCCCAAATACTTGCTGTTATGCGGCTGTATAGAAAACATTTTGTCAGGTTCCATGGTAAATCATTCTGAATGAATGAAAAAGTAGTCAAATAAATTCTTTATGAAATAACATTTCTACAATCGGTAAAAATAATTTCACCATAAATTTTACAAATTCTAAATTTTATACTTTAAACTTTTTAATAACTGTATGTGTAAATTTTGGAGAATGGACAGGTAAGAGAAAAGAATTGCAGACAAAATGAAACACGAATAGTAATTACATCCTTCATGAAATACAAGGTTCCTTTACTTTGTAGTATTATACAAGGGTTGTACAGCATAGTCTCAGCTGGATTTTGCTCATATTCAATGGAGCACTGAACTCCAGGAATAGACACTTATCAAAACTACCACAGGTATGGACGAGATCAGTTGTGGATTTAAATGTAACTTTGAGAAAAATATGAAAAATAAAGAGCTTCTAGATGTTACAGAAAGCTGAAAAACTGTTCTTGTAACATTCCTTTAAACAAGTAATTTTTCTGAATGTGAACTTTTTATCACAAATCTGCCTGAAAATTTTACACAGTGCTACATATTTTGTTGAATGCGCTCAAGGAAATTCACTCTCACCCAAAGATATCTTAGATGATATCTCCATAGATAACGGCACAAAATTAAAGGGAATGAAGCAAATGTCACAGAAAAAATATAATGAAAGATGCATATATATCAATCATCATTTTTGGAAGGTGGATTTTAAAACAGAGTTGGGTTTGGTAATTTCTGTGAAAATTATTTCAAAAGGTCAAGAACATATCCTGGAACAGTTATCTAAATATTGCTAAGAAAGCAACAGGACTGTAATGAGGGGTCTGGGAGAACTCCTGTAGTGTTCATGGATAAGATATTTATACTGGTGAATTTATGACTGGCAGAGTAAACAGAACAAAGCCATTAGTTTTGTTCTGACTTCAGAGCAATAGCATAACCTTTTCAGTGCAGCTGAAACAAAAATTTAGCTCAATTCAGTGGAATCAATCACCTCAGTAGAATTTTCTAGTCCATGGCATTTCAAAGCCAGGAGAGCTTGTACAGAAGTTTAAGAACTGAGAAAAGTTAGGCCTCAGAATTGTCTCAGTTTTCTGCCTGCAGAGTTGGAAAGGAATCATGAAATTATCTTCACAGTCCTCAGACAAGTACCTGGGAGGCATCACTTAAGCAGAAAACTAGATTTGAGCAAGGGCAATAATTTCACTAGATTTCAAGTTTTTTTTTAAGCACAGAGTGGTAGGAGTCTGGAACGTGCTGTCAGGGGAGATGGTGAAAGCAGATACGATAGGGGTGTTTGAGGGACTTTTAGATAAGCACATGAATGTGCAAGGAATGAAGGGATATGGACCAGGGCAGGCAGAAGGAATGTGTTTAATTTGGCTTCATGTTTGGCACAACATCGTGGACCGAAGGGTCCATTCCTGTGCTGTATTGTCCTATGTTCGGTGTCTGTAACTGAGTGTTAGGAAAACAGGTCGAAACATAACTAGCAAGGCCAAGTTACGACACTTTAAAATTGTCCTCTATATCTATATCACTTGGTTTTTGTCTTCTTTTGTGTAATAAACTTCTATCCTGGTATTAAAGGACATCAGCCTACTGTTAATACATTACAGCGACTAATCATTATATTTTAAACAAATGAAGATAAAAATGAACATGACATTTCTGAAGAAGGGTCACGACCCAAAGTGTCGACTTTCCTACTCCTCTGACGCAACCTGGCCTGTTGTGTTCCTCCAGCTCCATACTGTGTTGTCTGACTCCAGCATCTGCAGTTCTTGATATCTCTGACATTTATCAAGCTCGGTTTCATTCTGGGATTTGGCTTTTCCATTAACACCATTAATTGGAATCATTACAAAATCACCCCAGTTATGTAACCTTCCATTCAACTGAAATACAATGCACCTCACCATTGCACTTATTGTGCAACTTGCATAAAGCTTTCCACAAATAAGCTCTATTCTGTAATTCCACATGTTTTCAGATCACATCACAATTTTTTAAAAAGCTGTAAAGCAGACAGTACTCAAACGGATTACCACAATTCTATTCCTTGGTTACTTTAGCATTATTTGCTGTTCTTGAACACTACCTGAGCAGATCATTGCTGTCTGGAAAGCCTTGCAGCAAAAGGCTGAGCACGTTACTGATAGCTGCAATGGTCATCTGGGACAAGGATGTATCCCTCAGAGTAAGCAGAAGCTTTGGTATCAATTGGAATTCCCTCATTAACTTGGCATTTCTAGAAGCCTCACTGCAAAAGAGAATCAAAGCAACCTTTTATTCCTAATCACTGTTAGTAGCAACATAAATATTTTAAAAGTATTTTGAAATAACTTAATACCTTGATTCAGTGAGAAGTTCAATAAAATGCTCAAATAATGACAAATGAAGCTCATATGGTGCATTAAGCCAGACCTGGAAAAATAAAGTCATGTTAAAAAAAAAGAACACTTCTGCAAAACTTAAAAACACTTCTCAACCATTTCAAGTAGCTTAAAGTATGTATTATAGGTTAAAAATACTGAGCTAGGAGCTGTAAGTGCTGCAGGTCAGCCACTGCCTAACTACCCACAAATGATGCTCCCTTAAATATGAAAATTGTAGTAATCTGCATTAACCAAGTATCACTTGCATTATTTGTTGAAGGTATGGGAATTCTAGAGCTCCATCTTAACAATTTTATTTGTGTAAAGATATACTAATGGATTTTTCAAATGAATATTTACTTTGGGATTCAGCATTATGATCCCCATCTACAGTTGTTATAAGGCAAGTGCTTTGAAAAAAAAGTGCTGATATATTAAGGAAAGCCTTGCTATTCACCAGGGTCTGTGATAATTACACCTTGTGGTAGACACAAGGAGAACCCTTCCCAAATCCCATTGAAATTGAGAAAATGGCCTTCCTTGTTGGTCAGACATAGAACCATAGAGATGATACAGCACAGAAGGGGGGCATTTGGCCCAACGTGTCCATGTTGATCCAAAGATGCCAAATGCCCGTTTTAAATCCCACCTTCTTGCATATGGCCCAGAGGCCTGCAGCTTACAGTACTCAAGGCACAGATCGAGGTACTACTGCAAAGGAGGGTAGGGGCCCTGCCTCCACTACCAACTCAGGCAGCAAATTCCAGACACCCATCACCCTCTGTGTAAAAACATTTTTCCTCATATCCTCTCTAGTCTTTTTGCTACTTAGTTCAAAAACCAGGAGTCATAGATTCAAGCTTTCTCCAACAGGAAACAGGTTCCTCCCGTCTACTCTCTCTACCCCTAATAATTCTGTATACCTCAAATCATATCACCCCTCAGCCTTTTCTGTTCCAAGGAAAAGGACCCCAACCTCTCCAATCTCTCTTTGTAGTTGTAATTCTCTAGCCCTGGCAACATTCTAGTAAATCTTCTCTGCAGTCCCTCCAGAACAATTATATCCTTCCTGTGACATGGTGATCAGATCCGCACACAATACTCCTCTTGAGGCCTCACCAGTGTTTTATACAGTTTCATCATTATATTCCTAATTTTGTGTTTTACACCTCTGCCAATGAAGGAGAACATCCCATTTGCCTTCTTTATAACCGATCTGTACTGCTAACTTTAGGGACCTGTACACTTGTACACCAAGTTCTCTCACTTTATCTACCACTCTCAGTATATTCCTGCTTATTGTGTATTCCCTTTTACTATTTGACCTCCCTAAATGCATTACCTCACAATTATCAAAGTTGAGCTCCATCTGCCACTCTCCTGCCTTCTCCACCAACCCATCTATATCAGTTTGGAACTTCGCTATCCCTTACATGGCCAATTTTTGTGTCATCTGCAAATTTCCCAAATGTGTCCCCATTTTCAAGTCCAAATCGTTAATGTATAAAACAAACTGCAAGGGTCCCAATACCTAGCCCTATGCAACACCACCTGAGCTGTCCACTCAAGGGCATCTGGCGACTATTGCCCTTTGTTTCCTGTTACTAAGCCAACTTTAGATCCAATTTTATACATTATCCTATATCCCATGGGCTTTTACTTTTTTGACGAGTCTGCCATGGGGAACACTGTCAAATGCCTTATTAATATTGATGTAGAATACAACCACTGCACGACCGTCATCAATCCTGCTTCTCACTTCCTCAAAGAATTCAATCAAATTTGGAAGGCATGGTCTTTCCTTAACAAAGCCACGCTAACTATCCCTGACTAGTCCACGCCTTTTTAAGTGACAGTTTAACCAATCTCTCAAGATTGATTCTAACAATTTGTCCACCACTGAAGAAAGACTAACTAGCCTATAATTGGTTGGCATTTCCTTTGTACCCTCTTTAAACAACAGAACCACATTTGTATTCCTCCAGTCTTCCGGCACCTCACCTGTGTCTAGTGAAGATTGGAAAATAATCTTCAGAGCATCTGCTTTTTCCTCCTTGACCTTCCTCAACATCCTAGGGAACAATCCATCCAGCCCTGGCGACTTATCCACATTCAAAGATTCCAACTCCTCTAACACTTCCTCTCTATAGGATTATTTTGATCAATATTTCACACTGCTCCTCTTGATTAATATGTGTACAAGGAGTCAGTGTTGTCTACTATTTTCTAAGTTACCGTTGTACCATTTTTACTTATGTCTTACATCAAAGTCGCAAAGCAAATCCTGAAATCCATTAGAATTAGGAATGATACTGGTCTCATGGCCACTGTCAACTGTTCCCACTAATGAAAATGTAAGATGGAGAATATGACTGTTCAACAAAGTCCTCTTCTTCTTCAGCAGCATTGCCAAGAGCTAAGATGAGGAAAAACAAATGTTATTCAGAAATTCTATTTGGAAAGAGATATTGAGAAACTTGAAATGACAGTGAAAAGAACACGAGAGAAATTAGAGTTAAAAGAACACTTAAAAATTTTCCTTTTGGCACATTAGCTCTTTTATTTGAGTATTCAACTACATTTCGAATGTCTCTACTGCTTCATCGTTACTACCCTAATCTGGCAGATTATTCCACATACTTACTATATTTACTAATATAGTAATAAACAAGTTCCTCATACTAACCACTTATTTTGCCCTAAATTTATGTCCTCCAATCATACTCTCCTAGTCTATGCAGAAGGCAGTCTTCAGCACAAACCCTTTTTATACCATTCCATTTTATCCAAATTTTCATGAAGGCTAATCCTAAACCGTTTCTTTCCAGAGTGCAGAGCTCGGACTTTTCTCATAGCTCAACCACTATACAATTCAATTTTGCTCTTTTTCTCTAACGCCACCTTTAACTCCAATATCTATTATATGCTTTTTAGTTTAATTGGGGGTTTACTCAAACAGTATTCCGAATGAAGTCCAACAGCAAATTTTAAAACTTGTTTATCCAATAAATACACATTCAATATTAATCTGCTTCACTCAGTAGAAAGTTTCATTACTTTTCTCTAACACCCAATCAACTACAAAACATAAATAAAGTTTGAATATTTCTGCCCATAGTCTGAATCATATAGATCCAAACACTGAATTACAACATAAGTAAAATTGCCCAAAATTTGTTTCATTTATCAAATCATCTGTTTGAAATCCTGTGTTTCTCCGTGCATTTTATTCATCGGCATTAGTATAGGACAAAACCACTTATAAATCGCTCTAACCTACAGATATGAGGCTGTTCCCTTAAACAGGAGTTGCAGTGAAGCTCTTACTTGATAGCCCTTAATCCTCTCCATCTCTTTGCTTGCCAGTGCATTACTTTTTACCACACAAACAAGAGCCTTCACAGCAGCATAGAGGCCTTCAACATCTGATGCCATTGCAACCAAGCCTAAAATAGCAGCTGCTCCACCAATGTATTGTAATGTAGTGGCAACGGGCCTAGGAACAGAGGTCCTCACACCTGACAAAGAAAATCAACAATTAAAAAAAACCAAACTAAATGATGCACTTAAAAACATTTAAAACATTCCATCAAGAACAATAATCAACAGTAACCACTATATAAAAAGAAACTACTGCGAGGAAGCTATGTTTTACTTTATAATTCATGTTACATCTTATAATAATGCAATTGGAGAATGAATGACAAAATATTAACAAAAGCTGAACATGAAGTTAACAGAAAATGGCATTATTATTTAGCATTATTCTATTAAATTATGCAGGCAACCTCTGGCAGAGAGTGAAGGCAAGATCTGTTACAATATCACATTAAGGACAGTGTTATTTTAAGATTATTTCAAGAAAACAGAGCTCCAATTTTATCTGTTGACATCAGGTAAACTTGGGCCCATCATAGCGAATATAATATCCAGGGCCATTTTAGGAGGTCTTATTTAAGTATTGCAGGGCCTTTACAGTACTGGAGAGGGTGCAGAGGAGATTTACCTGGGCTGAAGACAGATTATGTATACTGGGGCTGTTTTCTTTGAAGCAGGGGAGACTAAGTGGGGAACATGATTGAGATGTAAAAGATGATGAGGCATAGACGGGAAGAAACCTTTCCCTTGGTGACTGATCAATGACCGGGATATAAATTTAAAGATAAGGGACAGGAGATTTAGAGGGGATATGAGGAAAAGATATGTCACCCAGAGGGTGACAGGAATCTGGAACTCACTGCCTGTAAGGGTTGTAGAGACAGAAGCCCTGGTAACTTTCAAATAGTATTTAGGTGTACACTTGGAATGCCAAGACATACAAAGCTGGTGTTGGAACATGGGACTAGGATAGTTAATTTGTTGTTTTTGACCGGCCAAAGGCCTCTTTTCTGTGCTGCAGAACTCTAACAATCACCGTCACAATGAAGTTCGCTAAGTGGATGGGGTGCTGAGCGAGTGTAGCAGGAGGCCTGAAGCGACTGTGATGTACCCAGAAAAGTAAATAGTAGTTTGGAGAGGTAGAAAAGGCCATGCAACCTGTGAGGGTTGAGGAGGCCACACTTTGCTGGGCTTGCAGCAAATTCACACAGAGTACTCTTGGTCAGGTTAATGTCAAGTGTTGAATCCAGTTGGCCAGAATTAAAACACAAAAATTAAAAAAAAAATTAAAATTGACTATTTAATTTCAGTGAGGCCCTTGCCTGTATTTGAAGACGTGTAGCATGAACCACAAGAATCAGGCACACGCTGCAGCAAAACTTTCAATACTCTTCCCCATATGCAAGTGAAAGTCGCTATATTCGCAGACGGTCATTGGCTATTAGAGAGATATGACAGGCAGTGAGTTCAACTCAAGGATCACCATACCTCAGATGAGTGGGCAATGTTGAGAAGGCAGAACTATGATGGTGAACTAAGCTGGTGCAGGAAGTGATCTGTGCTCTTGGCGTCACTCTGCATTGCAAATAACCAACTAAACCAACCTAACCCCACATGTCCCACTTTTGACACTTGGTGGGTTAAAATCAAGGCTGATGACCAACAAAAATTTTTTAAAAAGCACAACTTTTACGATAAAGTAGACTTTGTTTATCATTCTGAAATAACACTAAAGCAGATTTCTAGTTAATAGTAAATAAATTCTATACCAATCAATAATTTGAAATTTCCAGTATTCGGCTAACATTAAACAACACTGTACCTAGGTATCCAATAAGAGCTGCACCAATGGTCCGTGCTGGTCCATTTAAATGCCCTGCAGCATTATGCAATAGTTTTACTGGTGTAGCATTTTCATGCGAGGAAATGGCCATCTGCATAACGAAAGAATGTAATCTGATATTAGAAGCTAAGAATTTCTACTCATTTGCTTTAAACTTTGTAACATGAGAGCATGAGCAATATATTCAATCATTGTGCTAAATATAAACAAGCCAAATTATCCAACTTGCTTGTATATTGGTCATCTTTATAACATTTTTCCTTATTATGTTGTTGTGACATGTAACATATGCAAACAAACTAACTTCCATCTGTGTCTTCACTTCCTTACGGAATAAAATTTCTATGTTCTAATTTTCAAACTACTCATTCTGCACTTGGGGTCTCACCTCCCTTTCCTGTTTGAAAACAGCAAGTGAAAGCAATTCGCAGCACTGAATGTCTTATTCACACAGCATCACTATTTGTCCTATCAACACTATCTATAGAGGGAACCTCTAATTCATTAAAAGGAAGAGGACAACTTTGTGCCCACAGCCAGTAAATGACACCCGCAATTTACATAAATGTACTTCCAACTCTTGGGACATTGATTGCCTGAAATGGAATGTGCGCTTTGCCTACAACCAGCAACGCTTGGTTCAGTTTGGCTGGGATAATACTCTGGAGTTGAACCAGCTGGAACCATGCTACTTCCTATTAAATTTCCCTGCTGCAAGTTCAACTTTGACAATTAATCTATCTATCGTAACTTCTGTTATGTGAAGCCATTCAGGAAGAATCTAAGCACTAGCGGCTTCTATCTTTTCGAGTTCCATTAGTGAGCTAAATCAGCAGCTTAATCAGTAACAAGTTTTGTATAGTTAGGTATGAGACTGCAGATTTTGGCACAGAGTATGGTTTGGTTTCAAGTTTCAACCTACTGTTGGATACATGTGCACTACCTCTCTCCTAATGTGACCAAGCTCTTCCCCCGCTAGGAAAATGGATATAAAAGTTAGTAGACACGTAACTGACATAGTATACAACGTTAGAGTCATACGGCACAGAAACAGCCCTTCGGCCCAACTCGTCCATGCCGACCAGGTTTCCTAAACTGAACTAGTTCCATTTGCCTGCATTTGGCCCATATCTCTAAATTTCTTACCCACGTACCTGTTCAAATGTCTTTTAAATGTTGTAACTGTTTCCGCATTTACCACGTACTCTGGCAGTTCATTCTGTATATGCTCCATCTTCTGCATGAAAACATTGCCCCTCAGGTGCATTTTAAACCCTTCCTCCCTCACTTTAAACCAATGCCTTCTAGTCTTGGACTCTCCTACCCTGGGGAAAAGACCTTGGCTATTTGCCTTATTTCTGCCCTCATGATTTTATAAATTTCAATCAGGACACCCCTCAACCTCCTTCGCTCCAGGGACAGAAGTCCCAGCCTATCCACCCTTTCCTTATAACAAACTTTCCTGTCTCGGTAACATCCCTTGTAAATCTTTTTTGCACCATTTCCAGTTTAATAACATTCTTCCTAGAGCAGGGTGACCAGAACTGTATGCAGTATTCCAAATGGGGCCTTACCAATGTCTTGTAACCTGACGTCACAACTACTGTATTGATGTTTTGACCAATGAAGGCAAGCATTCCAAATGCCATCTTCACCAGCCCACACACCTGTGACACCACACTGCAGGAACAATGTACTTGCACCCTAGGTCTCTGTTTGACAACACTCCCCAGGGCCCTACCATTAACTGTGCAAGTCCTAACCTGGTTTGCCTTACCAAAGTGCAATACCTCACATTTACCTTCATTAAATTCCATTTACCATTCCTCAGCCCACTGACCTAGTTGATGATGATCTCGTTGTACTTTTAGATAACCACCTTCCCTGTCCACAATGCGACTAATTTTGATGTCATCTGCAAACCTACTAAACACGTCTCCTATATTCTCACCCAAATCATTTATATAAACGATGGACAATAGTGGATTCAGCACCGATCCTTCTGACACATTGCTGATCACAGACCTCCAAGTCTGAAAAACAACCCTCTACCACCACCCTCTGTGTCCTACCATCAAGCCATTTTTATATCCAATTGGCCAACTCTCCTTGGATCCCATGTGATCTAACCTTACTAACCAGTCTACCTTGCAGAACCTTGTCGAAACCTTGCTAACGTCCATGTAGGCATCGCTCTGCCTTCATCTCTCTTCTTGGTCACCTCTTCAAAAAACTTAATCAAATTTGTGAGACATGATTTCCCATGCAAAAAGCCATGCTGACTATTCCTAATCAGTCCTTGCCTTTCCAAATGCATGTAGATCCTGTCTGTCAAAATCACCAACAACTTAGCCAACACCAACGATAGGCTAACTGGTCTGTAGTTCTCTTGTTTTACTTTGCAACATTTCTTAAAATAATGGCATAATTTTAGCCACCCTCCAGTTTTCCAGCACCTCGCATGTGGCTGTAGATGATACAAAAATCTCCTCTTGCAGCCCCACAATTTCTTCCCTATCTTCCCACAATGTCCTAGAATACACTTGATTGGGTCTTGGGGAATTATCTATCTTTATGTGTTTTAAGACCTCCAGCAACACCTATTCAGTAATGTGGATTCTTTTCAAGACATCAACATTAAATTTCCCATAGTTCCCCAGCTTTCCTGTCTTTCTCCACAGTAAATATTGACAAGAAATATTTATTGACAATCTCACCCATCTCGTGTGGCTCCACACATGGATGACCTCATTGATCTTTAAGGGTTCCTATTCAGTGCCTAGTTACACTTTTGCCCTTACTGTAATTGTAGAATCTCTTTAGATTCTGCTCTACATTATCTGCCGAAGCTACCTTGTGTCTCCTTTTTTGCCCTCCTGATTTCCCTCTCAAGTGTACTCCTACTATACTCAAGGGATTGATTTGATTCCAGCTGCCTACACCTGACATATGCCTTTTTCTTGTCTACAGCCTCAATATCTTTAGACATCCGGTATTCCCTACTCCTGCCAGTCTTGCCCTTCTCACTAACAGGGACATGTTGGCCCAGAACTTTTGTTATCTCACTTTTGAAAGCCATCCACTTGCCAGATGTCCCTTTACCTGCAAATCGCCTCCCCCAATCAAGTTTCCAAAGTTCTTGTCTAATACCATTGGCCTTGCCCCTATTTAGAACTTTAACTCATGAACCAGACCCATCCTTAAGCCAAGCTAAATGGATTCCAGGTATTCCACATGGTATCGGAGAGGATAACTCACCAAAACATTTGCAGAATGTCAGCAACTCCCTGATCTTAACAAAAGTACATTTCACATCCCATTCAGTTGGAGATGCAGAGTTTGAGCAGCAACTGCAGCTCAATTATGGTAGATACCATATCTTAGTTATAACAGCACATGCTCTTAGTCTGTGCATCCAGGTAATGCATTTTAGCAATAATTGCCCCAAGTCTTAAAGTTTCAACAATTTATATCATAGCCAATGATAAATGTAGTTGAAGGACCTATATACAGCAAATTGCTTTTTGCCAACTATGTTGACGTCACAGTTATCTATGCCCAATGCGGCATTCTGGGATTATACATCAACTACATAAACTACAATTTATCACATGAAGAACTTTTACAACTTAGTGCACATTGTGAGGTTGTGCCATCCTTTAGGGCTTTCAGTGATAGCGTGGACAACCAGAGGGCTTCCTCTTTTGAACTCCGTGCCCTTTTTTCTCTAACTCCATTTTATAAATCAATTCTTTATCGTGATTAGTAGTTGAAGGAAGCTCTGAGATGTAAAAGGAACTATCAGGACACCTTATACATAAATGTAAACTGAATTGGGATTGTTTTTCATTGAAGAAAGATCCAAGTTCTTTTCAGATCTTTTGTAGTGTGTTCTAAAAGGATTGCATTTTAGAATCCACAGGATCACCTCAACAGCTAGGAATAAAACGGGATGAACAAATAACCCAATAGTTTTCAAGCAATACCTCAGAAGCCACATCTTTCGTATTGGAGAATTTCTCATCATAGGTCGCTGTACATATAATCAGTTGAACGATAATTCGTGAAAACTCTTCTCAAAAGAACTAACTTCCACTTTGGTTTGTTTAATAATTTAAAATTAAATTACTAAACATTTTAAGATACATTTAAATCATCAATTGTATTTTCTTTTAAGAACAGATGTAAACTACTGAACCGCTCCAGCTTGCTCTCATGTTCATTGAGATTATGGTTGATCTGCATTTTAACTTCATTGACTCATCTTGGCTGAGAGCTCCATATCCCTTAATACTTTTGATTAGGAAAATTAATCAAAATTAGATTTAAAATTATCAAGAGAACTGGAAATTACTGCACATGTGCAAGAGATTAGCACACTTACACTACTTTTGCAAATAAATATGTTTCCCAAGTTCTCTCCTGAATGATCTGGCTCCAATTTTAAGGTTTACATTGGATTGCATAAGACATATGGGGCAGAAACAGGCCATTTGCTGCAACTAGTCCATGCTGGTGTTTATGTTCCATGTGAACACCTTCCCCATTTTTCACATCAAAATTTACCATCGTAAACATCAGCTCCCCTCGCCCTTAAAGGCTGATCTAGTTTCCTTAAATAAATCTGTAAATATCCTGCAGGACCTAGATGACATTCAGAGCTAAGCTCAGAATGGAAAGCAACATTTTCCAATCAATAACCATCCTCATTATCCCTACAGTCTATCCTCTACTACCGAACAAGATCAATAATATGCCTCCAACTTTCCATTTTTAATTTTAGCCAACACACTCTTGCATACAACTTTAGTGAAGGCCTTCTGAAAGTACTACTCAATACAAATAACATTAAAAATGCTCGAAATACGCAGCTCGTCTTGAAGTACCTGTCAGAAGACAGGATGCATGAATATAGTACTTTCCATGATACAAACATTTTAAAACACTTCACAGCCAATTAATTATTTTTGAAGTGCATTCACTGTAGGATTGTAAGTGATCTGACAACCAATTTGCATACAGCAAATTCCCATAATGTGATAACTAGATTTGTGTACTTGCGTGTGATGACTGATGATAAATACTGAGGGATAAGGGAAAGTCTCCTTCTCTTCTTCCGAACAGTGTCATGGTATCTTTCACAACGAGACAAGCACGATGACAGGATCTTGGTAAGGTGTCATGCAAAAAATAACATCGCAGAAACAGCAGCCCTCTTTTAGTACCATATTGGTGTGTCAGCCTAGAATTTTATGCTCAAACCCTAGCGTGGGAATCCAAAACTTTGAATCAGACATAAATTGCTACCAAGTAAAGTGATTGCTGCCGACTCTGAAGCTAGATCACAGAACAGAAATATTAAATCTTTTCCTCTCTCCAGAGATGTGGCCAGACTCGTTGAATATCTTCAGCACTTTGTTTTTATTTCGGCTTTCCATTTTTGTCCTACCCTTTGTAAGTCCTAGTTAGTTCTCAGTTCCAATTTCTTCAAATGTCCACTCACTCCGATCCTTAATTATAGATTCCAACAGAAGTTAAACTGATCTAACAATCCTGAGTTTTCCCTTATGCTAAGCAACAATTCATGTATTTTCTCCAGCATAATTAAGAAACAGTAATAAATGTTGACCTAGTTAATGATATCCACATCTCATGAAACAAAAATAAAAAAATTTTGCATACCCTTTTGACCATGTAATGGGTCATAACTCCCCATCTTTAGAATTTCATTGAGAACCCAACCTATACTTAACATTGTATTGCTGAATAAATCAAACGTACTTAAAATTTTTCATCTTGCACAGGTCAGGGCAATTTGCAACAGTACTCAACTCCGGGAAAAGCCAATATTTATACTGCGAGAGGAGTATGGTGATTGGTTGTTAAGTGGACTCTAATTGATAGAGATGTCGCCATGGAGAATGCACCAGTTAGTGGTGATAAACAATTAATTACCAGGCTTTGTTTCAATTTTAAAGCAGGCCACTGCCCTGAGAAATGAACTAAGGAACAGCTAGACTTATTTTGATGAGTTGCAACAGAGGCAGTGTGTGGACATGTTCTTTCCAACACTTTCCTAATGAATAGCCTACTCCTGTTCCTTTTTATTTAAAGGGTCTTATGGACTGCAAAAGAACAGGGTTGTGTTTATTGATATATGCAACTTCGATTGGACTCAAGTGCACCACACTGCGAACCCAACTGACAATCCTAAATTGATTGTGCACAGAATTACACGGACACTCAGGATTATTCAGCAAATGATGTACAATTGAAAAATCAGGTCCAATTACGACTTTCACAAGTGCAGGTTGGCTGGTTATGGTCAGCATCTGACTTGCTATGAACAGAAGAGATATGCTGTTGATACAATCCACCAATCATTGGGATGTACAACCTACATACCTGGCATCCAGTCTACCTGGAAGGATAAGGTATCTGAGTAACAGGTGATGCTAGCTGTTCCATGCTCCTATTATGCAGTAGGAATGAGTGGTCTTTGCCACTAACAGGATGTTGCCATCAAGCCAAGTTAACTTTATGCCTATCACTGAAATGTGCCATTTGAATTTGAATGCTGGTATAATGCCAGATCTAATTCTGCGCTACCAAACAATTTTGTAAATTGAACACAAATATGTGCAAACTGAACCACATCTTAAGGCATATTTTTAGTTTGTGCATTTCCTCTAAATGCTCACCTTCCATTGATTGCTCACCTGTTTGGCTATGGTTTTGCTGTCCACCTTGTTGTAATTTTTTCTAATCCTGGCCACTGTAAGTGAAGAGACTGACAGTGCATACAACCCAAAAGATACTTTCTCCTCAGGAATTAAACTGATTGGAGATGGAATGATCACTTCAGATTTTGAATCCTTGCCTTCATGAAAGGAACACATTACCAATATTTGAATTAGGAAAAAAAAAATCAATATCTATTATCTTTAAAGAAGGGAACTCACATCAATGCCACATTCTTGCACATGAATAACTTTTAATAATAAAAAGAAATCACAATAGCAAAACTATCTAGCAGCATATCTACATAGTATCAATGATGTAAGTATATTTATTAGCTTTAACACTTTTGTCCAAGTTGTTCAATTAAACATTTAGTAGGAATTAGAAAAACCTTTAAACCAAAACAAACAGACTTTCCACAAATGACCCAAATGCAACTTTCCAACCGACATTTTTCTTCCTAAACCTCTTCACTTTGAAGCCATGACTCACATTTAAAATTGTTAGCACAGAAGTACTTGATAGATTGTTGGCATCTAAAGTTGGCAAGACACTGGACCCAGATGAGATGCATCCATGGATTATAAAAGGAAGCAAGAGTGGAAATTGCAGGGGCACCGGCCACATCTTTCAGCTTTCCTTTAATCAGGACAGGTGCCGTAAGATTGAAAAATTGCAAAGATTGTGGCCTCGTTCAAGAAAATTTATAAGGATAAGCCCAGCAGTTACGCAGCAATCAGTTTAACTTCAGTGGTAGGGAAGCTTCTATGGACAATTATTCAAAATAGAATTAATAGTTACCTGGAAAAGGGGAGTTGTTAAGAAAGAGACAGCATTTTAAACAGGGGAATAATGCCAAACTAGCTTCGAGATTTTTGAAGAGGTAACAGAATGGCTCCATGCAGATAATGCTCGATATGGTGTACTTTCAGGAGGACTTGAGAGGAAAGTTATGGGTCATGGAATAAAAAGGTCAGTTGCAACATGCATTTAAAATTGGTTGAGTGATAGGAAAGAAAGTAATGGCCAATGGATATTTTTCAGACTGGAGGAAGGTTTGTAGTGGATGTCTCCAAGGGTCAGTGCCAGGACCTTTGCTTTTCTTGATATATATTAATGATTTAGATCTTGGTGTGCAGAGGGCAATTTCGAAGTTTGTAAATTACATTAAATTTGGAAGAACTGTAAACGATAAGAAGGGCATAACAGAACTCCACAAGGACACGGACAAGTTAATGAAGTGGCGGATCAGCGGCTGATGAGTTTCAATGCAGTGTGCGAGGTGATGCATTTCGGTAGGGAGAACATGGAAAGACAATACAAAATAGAGGTATAATTCTAAAAGGGTGCAAGAGCAGAGACAACTGGGTGTATATGAATGCAGATCACTGAAAGTGGTAGGACAGGTAGGGAAAGCAGTAAGTAAAACTTTATTAAGAGGCAGAGAGTACAACAGCAAAAAGATGTTGAACCTGTATAAGACATTTGTTAGATCTTAGCTGGAGTAGTATTATAGTGCTGGAGAGCACATTACAGAAAGGATGTGAACACACTGGAAACAAAGAAAAAAGTTCACAAGAAAGGCTCCAGGAATGAGGACCTTCAGTTATGAGGATAGACTGAAGAAGGCAGGTCTGTTCTTGAAGTGAAGGAGGCTAAAAGAAGAATTGATAGAGGTTTTCAAAATCAGGAGCAGGCTTGATGCAGTAAATAGGGAGAAACTATTCCTGCTCTTAAAAGGAACAAGAACAAGAGGGCACATAATCATTCACGTATGTAGACTTTCCATTATAAGTTTCTTTTAAAAACCTTTTTGGTGATCACATCTCATTCATTTCTGCAATCTAGAGATTTCATTGTATAACTGTTAAGGTATACTAATTTCAGATTGTGTGTCATAAGTACTACAGAATAAATTTCTCAGAAGTAACAATGTGTAATGGTATTTTCAATAGATAGGTATCAAGGTGATTTTCATTAAAACTATCACTAATCTTACAATGGAGAATTTATATTTGCTTCAACTGAAAACTACTCAAAGAACAAAATATTAATACAGTATTATCGTTTGTTTACCATACCTTGCGTTGTGTGTGTTAGGTTAAGAAACAGCAACAAAAATAAATTACACATTGCATAAAGAACAATTCTTAGCCAAACGCTGCAATCCAACCTTCTTAGAAAATTTTGGCTTACTGCACATAATTCGCAATATTAGAACCCATGAGTATTCACTGTGTTTAAATATAGTATCGATACTTTTGTTGCCCCATGAAAATACTCATGAGGCAGAGTTGTAAAGATAATTGAAACATAGGAATTCAATATAGCACAAGTTGAGAAACTGGGATAGATAAAAAATTGAACCACCACAATAATACTGCGTGGTACAGTGCAGAATTATACTTGAAAGGTTTATATAGTGCATCCAGTAGTGGAAAGGAGGTGGGGGAAGAAATATGTGAAGGAATATATTAAGGAGTGAAAGACAATTTTAACCACCCCCAAATAAATTGGTAAGTGGCAATGAGAGGAGTATAGGAAAGGTAGATTTTATAAGGTGTGCAGGTTTCTCCTTTCTTACCCAGTATGTTAAAAAAAACTGACAAAAGCAGGAGCATTTCTGGATTTCTCTTGGAAAGTGAACTAGAAGAAATAAACAGAGGAATGCTGACAAAAAGGCAATCACAAAATACTTACATAATTAAGATAAAGATTTGAGAAGAGCAAGATGAAAGGAATAGCATGCAAACGAGCTAATATTAAAATGACAAAATCTGAATGAGGGAACATAAACTAGCAAAAAAACTCAGAAAAGTATCAGTACAAGAGGGATGTAAAACATTTAGAATGACAACATTGCTAGAAGAAAATAATTGCACCTAAAAGAAAGGACAAATCAGCCAATAAAGACACACCATGCATGAATAAAGAAAAACAGAAAAACCAAAACGTAAGAAAAAGATGGCGCATGTTAGCACTGCTGCCTCAGTGCCAGGGACGTGGGCTCGATTACAGCCTTAGCCAACTGTCTGTGTGGAGTTTCCACATTCTCTGTGTCTGCGTGGGTTTCCTCCAGGTGCGCTGGTTTCCTCCCACACTCTAAAGATGCGCAGGTTTGGCAGATCGGTCATGCTAAATTGCCTATAGTATCCAGGATATACAGGCTAGGTGGATTAGCCATGGGAAATGCAGGATCGGGTTGGGGGGATGGGTATGGGTGGGCTGCTCTTCAGAGGGTCAATGTGGTCTTGGGCTGAGTGGCCTGCTTCCACACTGTAAGAATTCTATGATTCTAAGATGGGTCCCAACCCTACATGTCAACTTTCCTGCTCCACTGATGCTGCCTGACCTGTTGTGTTCCTCCAGCTCCATACTGTGTTATTCCAGACACATACAAGCCTGCTGCACCAATCGACAAGATTACAGCTGTTCTAATCTTAGCCTCAAATTGACTTGCCTGCATTATTCCCTTGACTCTTATTGCTGGAAAATGTTAATATATTTCAGGTAAGATAGAAAATAACTCAACCTCCATGCTCTCACAGGTAGACAATGCTGAAGATTCAGAATGCTCAGAAGAAATTCCTTCTCATTTGTTTCAAATAGATCCAACCTTTTCAACTTTCCTCATAAGACAACTTCATCCCATACATCAACTGAGTGTACCTTCTCAGAACTTCTTCCAATGCAAGTACATGCCTTCTTAAGAGGAGTCCACTGTTATGGTCTCACCATTATGCTGCACATTTCGATCAAGACTTATCTACTTATTCCCCTTGGACCATTTCAATTCCTTCCCTAATCACACGCTTTTCCATTCTTAACTTTGCATGTTCCGTGTACAAGGATACCCAGGCCCCTCAGTTACTGCAGTATTCGGTCATCATTCTTCCCTAAAGTAATATTTTGCTATGTTATTCTGGAGAACTTCATATTTCCCACTTTATACTAGACCTTATAAATATCATATCTTTTTATTTTTCTATATTTTTGACTGTACACTGAACTGGGAAAAGGACTCTTCTAAAAACCTAGAATTGTGGAAGGAACAGCCATACTTTTTAAGACAAACTGTCAGCATTTATTTCCACTGTTCTTTGTTCAACCAGCAAGGGAAATTTAGTTGCAGATGAGCTGGCACAGGATCTGTGTATAAAATGAAAATCAGCCAGCAACAAGTAATTGTTTGCTCTGTGAAGTGATGACCAGTTTTCAATTACAAAGGCCTTCTGCCTGCTAACAACAGTCTAAATGTTCCTAGGTTGCTGAAGAACTTGTAGGTGCTATCAAGGTACCCAGAAGCCTTTGGTCCTTTGGAAGGGAAGGTGGTTGTCTTTTCTCTGCAATAAACAAACCTAAGCTTGAAGGAAGCCAGTTTGCTTTCCCTCACCAGTTGCTCTAAGCTTGTTTCAGAGATAGTAGGAACTGCAGATGCTGGAGAACCTGAGATAACAAGGTGTAGAGCTGGACGAACAAAGCAGGCCAAGCAGCATCAGAGGAGCAGGAAGGCTGACGTTTCAGGCTGAGACCCTTCTTCAGAAATGGGGGAAGGGAAGGGGATTCTGAAATAAATAGGGAGAGGGGGGAGGCAGATAGAAGATGGATAGAGGAGAAGATAGGTGGAGAGGAGACAGACCGGTCAAAGAGGCGGGGATGGAGCCAGTAAAGGTGAGTGTAGGTGGGGAGTTAGGGAGGAGATAGGTCAGTACAGGGAGGACGGACAGGTCAAGGGGGCGGGATGAGGTTAGTAGGTAGGAGATGGGGGTGGGGCTTGAGGTGGGAGGAGGGGATAAGTGGGAGGAAGGACAGGTTAGGGAGGCGGGGACAAGCTGGGCTGGTTTTGGGATGCGGTAGGGGGAGGGGAGATTTTGAAGCTTGTGAAGTCCACATTGATACCATTGGGCTGCAGGGTTCCCAAGCGGAATATGAATTGCTCTTCCTGCAACCTTCAGGTGGCATCACTGTGACACTGCAGGAGGCCCAGGATGGACATGTCATCTGAGGAATGGGAGGGGGAGTTGAAATGGTTCGCGACTGGGAGGTGCATTTGTTTAGTGCGAACCGAGCGTAGGTGCTCTGCAGAGCGGTCCCCAAGCCTCTGCTTGGTTTCCCTGATGTAGAGGAGGCCACAATGGGAACAGCGGATGCAGTATACCACATTAGCAGATGTGCAGGTGAACATCTGCTTGATGTGGAAAGTCTTCTTGGTGCCTGGGATAGGGGTGATGGGGAAGGTGTAGGGGCAGGTGTAGCACTTCCTGCGGTTGCAGGGAAAAGTGCTGGGTGTGGCGGGGCTGGAGGGGAGTGTGGAGTGGACAAGGGAGTCCCGGAGAGAGTGGTTCCTCCGGAAAGCAGATAAGGGTGGGGAGGGAAAAATGTCTTTGGTGATGGGGTCGGATTGCAGATGGCGGAAGTGTCGGAGGATGATGCGTTGGATCCGGAGGTTGGTGGGGTGGTACGTGAGGACGAGGGGGATTCTGTGTTGGTTGTTATTGTGGGGAGGGGGTGTGAGGGATGAGTTGCGGGAGATGTGGGAGACATGGTCGAGGGTGTTCTCGACCACTGAGTGGGGGGAAGTTGCGGTCCTTGATAAACGAGGACATCTGAGATGTACGGGAGTGGAATGCCTCATCCTGGGAGCAGATGCGGCGGAGGCGAAGGAATTGGGAATAGGGGATGGAATTTTTGCAGGAAGGTGGGTGGGGGGAGGTGTGTTCTAGGTAGCTGTGGGAGTTGGTGGGCTTGAAATGGATATCAGTTTCCAGGTGGTTGCCAGAGATGGAAATAGAGAGGTCCAGGAAGGATAGAGAGGTATAAGAGATGGTCCAGGTGAACTTAAGGTTGGGGTGGAAGGTGTTGGTGAAGTGGATGAACTGTTCAAGCTCCTCGTGGGAGCACGAGGCGGCGCCGATACAGTCATCGATGTAACGGAGGAAGCGGTGAGGTTTAGGGCCAGTGCAGCTACAGAAGAGGGATTGTTCCACGTAACCTACAAACAGGCAGGCATAGCTTGGGCCCATGCAGGTACCCATGGCCACCCCCTTTGTCTGTGCGTGGCCCTCCGCTTCTTCCTGTCCTGCAGGACCGACTAGTCCCCCTCCGCTTAGCCGAACTCGTCCTCACCCTCAACAACTTCTCTTTCAATTCCTCCCACTTCCTACAGATGAAGAGGGTGGCCATGGGTACCCGCATGGGCCCAAGCTATGCCTGCCTCTCTGTAGGTTACATGGAACAATCCCTCTTCCGTAGCTACACTGTCCCTAAACCTCACCTCTTTCTCCGTTACATCGATGACTGTATCGGCGCCACTCGTGCTCCCACGAGGAGCTCGAACAGTTCATCCACTTCACCAACACCTTCCACCCCAACCTTAAGTTCACTTGGACCATCTCTGATACCTCTCTCCCCTTCCTGGACCTCTCTATTTCCATCTCTGGTAACTACCTGGAAACTGATATTCATTTCAAGCCCAACGACTCCCACAGCTACCTAGAATACACCTCCTCCCACCCACCTTTCTGCAAAAATGCCATCCCCGATTCCTAATTCCTTCGTCTCCGCCATATCTGCTCCCAGGATGAGGCATTCCACTCCCGTACATCTCAGATGTCCTCGTTTTTCAAAGACCGCAACTTCCCCCCCTCAGTGGTCGAGAACGCCCTCGACCATGTCTCCTGCAACTCATCCCTCACACCCCCTCCTCGCAATAACGACCAAAACAGAATCCCCCTCATCCTCACGTACCACCCCACCAAACTCCGGATCCAATGCATCATCCTCCGACACTTCCACCATCTGCAATCTGACCCCACCACCAAAGACATTTTTCCCTCCCCACCCTTATCTGCTTTCCGGAGGAACCACTCTCTCCAGGACTCCCTTGTCCGCTCCACACTCTCCTCCAGCCCCGCCACACCCAGCACTTTTCCCTGCAACCGCAGGAAGTGCTACACCTGCCCCTACACCTCCCCATCACCCCCATCCCAGGCACCAAGAAGACTTTCCACATCTAGCAGATGTTCACCTGCACATCTGCTAATGTGGTATACTGTATCCGCTGTTCCCATTGTGGCCTCCTCTACATCGAGGAAACCAAGCAGAGGGGCTTGGGGACCGCTTTGCAGAACACCTACGCTCGGTTCGCACTAAATAACTGCACCTCCCAGTCGCGAACCATTTCAACTCCTCCTCCCATTCCTCAGATGACATGTTCATCCTCGGCCTCCTGCAGTGCCACAACGATGCCACCCGAAAGTTGCAGGAAAAGCAACTCATATTCCCTGCAGCCCAATGGTATCAATGTGGACTTCACAAGCTTCAAAATCTCCCCTCCGCCTACCGCATCCCAAAACCAGCCCAGCTTGTCCCTGCCTCCCTAACCTGTCCTTCCTCCCACTTATCCCCTCCTCCCACTCAAGCCCCACCCCCATCTCCTGCCTACTAACCTCATCCCGCACCCCCCTTGACCTGTCCGTCCTCCCTGGACTGACCTATCTCTTTCCTAACTCCCCACCTACACTCACCTTTACTGGCTCCATCCCCGCCTCTTTGACCTGTCTGTCTCCTCTCCACCTATCTTCTCCTCTATCCATCTTCTATCCACCTCCCCCTCTCTCCCTATTTATTTCAGAATCCCCTTCCCCTCCCCCATTTCTGAAGAAGGGTCTAGGCCTGAAACGTCAGCCTTCCTGCTCCTCTGATGCTGCTTGCCCTGCTTTGTTCATCCAGCTCTGCACCTGGTTATCTCAGTTGCTCTAAGCTGTTGTTTTTAACCAATAAGTCAGAGACATCACAATGTTGCTCTGTGCCTCCTCCAAGCTACTGAAAGTACTTGGAGATGGATCGACTAATAGTAACTCATGAAAATCCAGAAGGATGACTTCAGGGGCCCATTCAGGGACAATTAAACAGCCTTCCCTTTTATCCCCTTCACTCAATACCAACTTTATTTTTGCATGCCTGTATGCATGTGCATAGGAACGGTTCTGGAAGAGGGTGTGAAATTATAATGGTGAAAATAGGTGATTAATTTTTTCTACAGCCAGTCTTGTCATTGTTACCTAATTTAGAGATATAGGACCAAACTGAATCTTGGACTTTCCTATTTCAGATGCTTCAACTGCTTAGTTATGTTGATGAGCCACGGGAAGACTATTCCACTATTTTTTAAACAATGCTGAAGAATGTTTTAGTCATAATCCATAAGTGAAAAAACTATCACCAATGACAAGTGTTGGTACATCATGCTTGAATCAATATGACAAAACAAAATAAGTGAGAAGAATTTTTCAACAGATACACAAAGCTGGGTAAATCGGTTATGTGTAATAACACTAACATGTGCATTTTCCCTCAAATTAACAAACTCTTTATTTGACAGAAACCCTATTCAGCTTAATATTAAACATTACAATTTTGCATCAAAAATTACTTACATGGGACACACACAGCTTGGAAGCTACCAACATAGTTTGGTCCTAATTCATAAATGATAGAGATACTGGAAGCAGGCAAAACTTCCTCCAGGAAATGTGTAGGTCCTAGACGCCACACTAATGAAGAGATCTGACGCTGAGCTGGAGGTGTTCCAATGTAGCCATACACTGTGCTAACAACTGGCAGATTAGTTGACCCTGATCCACCAGGTGAACTGTGGATATAATGAAGCTGTAAAGTCAAATAAAAAGAAGAAACAATGATCATTGTCTGAATGTCTGCTTTACATAAAATATAAGTCAAACACATAACAACAGTGGTTTGCACTTTCTGGATGTCACAGCAAAAACTGTCATATCAAAAGTCAAAACATGATTGTGCAGTGTGCATTCATGATGTTTGCTGTTTCAACAATTAATGTTGCTTCAAAAAAAGCTTTGTTTATAACATTACCTGGCCCTATTATTGGAACTTTGGATGCTATTACTCCTTGAATACTATATAACTTGAAGCATTCACCATGTGAAACATGAACACTGCCAGAAGACTGAGACTAAAGCCTGCAAATACACAATTCAGTTAGTTTTATTCAAGAAATGTGTCTAAATTAAGTCTGTAGATGACACCAAAATTGGCAGAGTTGCAAACAGTGAGAAGGTTTGTCAAAGGATACAGCGGGATATAGATAAATTGCAGATTTGGGCAGAGAAATGGAAGATACGAGTTTCATCCAGACAAATGTGAGGTGATGCATTCAGGAAGATCAATTTCAGGTGCGAATTATACAACAAATGGCAGGACCCTGAGGAACATTGACAGAGGGATCTGGTATACAGCTCCACAAATCCCTGAAAGGGGCAACACAGGCGGATAAGGTGGTCAAGGCAGCATACTGCATGCTTGCCATCATTTGCCAGGGCATCGAATATAAAAGTTGGCAAGTTATGTTACAACTGTATAAAAAAAACTTTAGTTAGGTCACATTTGGAATATTGCATGCAGTTCTGGCCACCACACTACCAGAAGGATGTGGATGCTTTGGAGAGAGGTTGGATAAACTTGGATTGTTTTCACTGGAAGTGAAGGCTGAGGGGCGATCTAATAGAGGTCTACAAAATTCAGAGAGGCATAGATGGAGTGGGTAGACAGAGGCTTTTTCCCATGGTGGAAAGGTCAACAACAACAGGGCACAGATTCAACGCAACAGGGGGAAAGTTTAGGGGAGAACTGAGGAAAATTTTTCCCAGAGGATGGTTGGTGCCTGGGACGCACTGCCAATGGAGGTGGTGGAAGTAGGCATGTGAGCACATTTGAGCCGTATCTTGATAGACACATGAACAGGGGGCGAACAAAGGGATAGAAACAGTGTATGGACAATCAGTAGCAAGTTTAAATTAGGACTAAGAATCGGCACAGGCTCGGTGGGTTGAAAGGCTTATGTTCCTGTGCTGTACTGTTCTTTAAAATGAAAGAATTGTGGATGCTGTGAATCAGGAACAAAAACAAAGTTGCTGGAAAAGCTCAGTAGGTCTGGTAGCATCTGTGAAGAGAAAATGCCCATTTCTGAAGAAGGGTCTCGACCCGATACGTCAGCTTTCCTGTCCTCTGATGCTGCTTGGCCTGCTGTGTTCATCCAGCTCTACACCTTGTTATATCAGAGGTTGTTGAGGTTGGTTGGCTCACTGAGCTGGTTTCTTATTTCGCAGATGTTGCGTTACCATGCTTGGTAACATCCTCAGTGCAGCCTCCGATGAAGCATCGGTGTGTTTTCCTGCCTGGTTTTTAAACTCTGGGGTCCATTGAGATGGACTGCCTCACTGCCGGTTTTCCTTCGTAGTGGAACGTATATGGGGTCGAGTTCAATGTGTTTATTAATAGCATGCTTCGTGGAGTGCCATGCTTCTAGGAATTCTCGTGCCTGTCTCTGCCTAGCCTGTCCCAGGATCTTGGTGTTGTCCCAGTCGAAGTGGTGGTTCTCCTTGTCCATGTGGATTGAGATGAGTGAGTATTGGTCGTGTCTTTTTGTAGCCAGTTGGTGTTCATGTACTCTTGTTGTTAGTTTCCTTCCTGTTTGTCCGCTGTAGTGTTTCTCGCAGTCTCTGCAGGGGATCTTGTAGATGGCATTGGTCCTGTCCATGGCGGGGAGTGGGTCCTTAGTTCGGGTGAGCAGTTGTCGTAGGTTGGCGTGGGCTTGTGTGCCACTCTGATGCCCAGCGGTCGTAGGAGTCTTGTGGTGAGTTCCGACGTGTTTCTGATATAGGGTAGTGTGATGAGTGTGGCGGGACGTATAGTCTCTTTCTGATGCTGCTCGTGTAGGCATCTTCTGACACAATTCTTTGGATATCCATTATCCTTGAAAATCTGGAAGAGATATTCTTCCTCTTTTTCGCGTAGTTCCGTGTTGCTCTAGTGTTGTTGTTGCAGCAACACAGAACTATGCCAGGAGGAGGAAGAATACCTCTTCCAGGTTTTCAAGCATAATGGATATCCAAAGAACTGAGTTCTGAGGAAGGGTCACTGGACCCAAAATGTTAACTGATTTTCTCTTCACAGATGCTGCCAGACCTGCTGAACTTTTCCAGCAACTTTGTTTTTGTTCCTGTATTGTTCTTTGTTCTTGTTCTAAATGATGGCATCACTAATTCAGTTATTGCATATTGTTTATAATAGACATTTAGGATTAATCCATTACTGCTACATTCTACCACAATTCCTCGGTTTTAATTTTTTTTTGGAGGGAAGGAGAAAATAGCTTGCCAACATTTCAAAGAAAGAACGTGCATCTTTTCTATATGGAAGTTGACACTAGTTTATTTCATATCGTCAGTGTTTAGTTCAAATAAGCTGACATCATTACTGGGAACAATGCTCCTTTGTAATTTATTAGATTGCTACTCCAGCTGGCCAAAGAAACTTGTCATCGTTTGAAAACAAAAACAAAGCTGCCAGCTGAAAAAGCCACTAAGTAGAGAAATGTACAATGACCAACTGAAATTTAAATGTTCCAAATCTTAATGGAGGTTGATTGTCTGACCAATCAAGAAACTATGAAATGGCATTAAATAAAATTCAAATATTATAACATATTTGTTGTTTACTTGATAGTCAAATTAGTTGTTGTAAAAATTATAATTACCTAATTAATTTGCATGCAATAAATGCTAAACCATTGGCTGCGTTTTACACTGGGATGCATCACATTGCTATGGTCAATCTCTAGCTTTAAGGACTTTATTGATATACAGCATCACAGTATTTTCTTTAGTTCAAATGAATGTTTCATTCTTCTGGAATGAGTAATCTTTCCTGGAGAATCCAAAAAAAGTGATTTGAACAAACTACATCAACTGCAAAAATCAGTAGAATAGATTAACCAAAAAATGTTTTCATTAAATTAGCAAGCCAAAGTACATGCTCTTAGAAGCTCAATTCTGAATGTTTTGTTTTGCCCTTTCATAAAAGCCTGTGTCACAAGTTTTCTCCATATTGGATGGTAAACAATTGTATGTATTTTTACTCCTTAGTCATTAGATAACCATTTAGGACTGCCTTTATTAAATTAGCTACTAAAACAAATGGTTCTTCTGGGAATTGGAATCCACTGGCCAATCAATTGGCTTTCACCATTCTGATCAGCTAAAAATCATACAGGAACAAACATCTCCCATAGGGAGAAGTATGAAGTCAAAAAAAATGATAAACCTTCAGAGAAAAACTTTGTTGGAAGGAAACCTCACCACCGATGCTCCGTAGAAGCAGTGTATATTATCTACAAAAGGCACTGCAGAAATGCACCAAATTCACCTTGGACAACACCTTTTAAACCTGTACAAAAACAAAAGTTGCTAGAAAAGCTCAGCAGGTCAGGCAGCATCTGTGAAGGAAAAAACCTAGTTAATCTTTTGGGTCTGGTGACCCTTCCTCAAAACCCGAAACGTTAACTCTGTTTTTGCCTTCACAGATGCTGCCAGACCTGCTGAGCTTTTCCAGCAACTTTGTTTTTGTTCCTGATTTACAGCATCCGCAGTTCTTTCGGTTTTTACCTTCTAAACCCGTGACCGCTTCCACCTAGAAGCACAAGGGTAGCAGATACATGGGAACATCATCACCTGCAAGTTCCCCTCCAAGTCACTCACCATCCTGACTTGGAAATATATTGCTATTCCTTCACTGTCGATGAGTCAAAATTGTGGAATTCGTTCCCTAACAGCATTGGTGGTCAACCTACAGCATATGAACAGCAGTTCAATGCAGCAGCTTATTATCACCTTCTCAAAGGCCATTAAGGACGGACAATAAGTGCAGGGCAGCCAGTAATACCCATGTCCCACGAGTGAATTATATTAAAAAAATTACATTCCTTGAACAATACAAAGACCTAATTGATACTGCAGTGATGTCTTATTTTTATTATACCAAGGTGGATACAGTCCCTGAATTTGTGACATTTTAAAGAGAACACAACTGACCTGCAGCAGCAGAAAGTTATCTGAAACAACACTTATTTGGTAAAAATAGTATTCCTGCATTCCGAATGATTTTATAGCTGCAACTTTAGATAAGGGTTCTCTCAGGACATCATACCTTTACTGTGTTAATATGTTGACCGTCCACATACAAGGTAGCAGTGCTGTTCTTTAACATTCCTTTACTCATCACAAGTACCAGGTGATGCCACTGTCCCTCATTAATTAGATCACTGCAGCGAAATCGGGCACAGCAGGGAAGAATTTCATAAAAGGATGACTCTTCACTGAAGTCATCAACTAAAAAGAGAATAACAATTAAGCCCTTACTTCACAGGATGACATCGCATTGCACTGCTGTATTTCATAACAGTACTATATCTTTCAGCTGCAATGCTCCACATACTATAATTTATAATAATACAAAACCTTTAACACAGCAGAACATTGCTTCACAAAGACTTTGGGCAGAAGTTTACAATGATGGCGAGATAGCTAATTAACTCAGAGGAAAACCTAGCTGTTGACTAACAGGATGTTATGAAGCCTGCCTCAAAGCAATTGCATGCTTCAAGTAGGACAAATTGGTGCAAAATAGAATGTTTCACCCACTGGAACTGCCTGGATGCAGCTAATGTGGTGGCATTACGTAGGGTGGGTTTTAAAGTCCACACAGGAATGAAGGAAGAGGTGGAGGATAGTCAAGTGGGGAAGGGCATATGTCTAGTGTGCAAACAGCACCTGCCAAAGTCAGTACCCTGCTTACTATATGTCCAAATATGTTTTTTCGAAAAACTAGGTGTCCACTCCCCTCTGACAGATCACACTAATTGCATTACCGCATGGACAGATAACACTGGAATCAACTGGACTACTAAAAGGCTCAATTGACTGTTAACTCTTTATTTAAATATGGCAGGCAGGTTGCAGATTTCAATGTGTACCCAGTTCCCTAATTCAAGGATTAGCCGGGCACTGTGCAGCCTGAGCATTCACCCTAAACTATATGTTGCAATCCTCTCCATGAAAATACATCCAGGAATACAGTGTAAAATCAACTCCATTATAAAACAAAACATAAAACTGAACCACTCAGTTTTAGGGCAGGAAGTTGGTTAGCTCAGCTGGCTCTACAGCTGGATGGCAATGCAGAGTAAAGCCAACAGCATGGGTTCAAGACTTTCACTATGAAGGAGTCTGGGTTGCAACCTCTATCCTTGCTTGAGGCATGGTGATCTCAGGTTAAAGTACCACCAGTTATCTCTGTCTAATATCTTTCCTTAAATAAGGGAACAAAACTGCTCACCGTACTCCAGATGTGGTCTCATCAGCACTTTGTACAGTAGCAGTAGCTAGATTTCTGTGTTTCACACACATATACGGGGTGACACAGTGACTCAGTGGTTTGCACTGCTGCCTCTCAGCACTGGGGATCTGGGTTCGATTCCACTCTTGGGTGACTGTCTGCGTGGAGTTTGTACATTTTCCCTCTCATAAACCTCTGTATGGGTTTCCTCCCACAGTCCACATATGCAGGATAGGTGGATTGGCCCTACTAAATTGTCCATAGGGTCCAGGGATGTGAAGGCCAGATGGATTAGCCATGGAAAAGCAGGGTTATGGGGTTGGGGCAGGGTGTGGTGGGGTGGGATGCTCTTTGGAGGGTTGATATGGATTCGATGGGCCGAATGGCCTGCTTCCACACTGTAGGGATTCTATGATCCTATAAAGTACTCCCAAGTCCCTTTGTGTTGTAACTTTCTGCAAGGTTTCTCCAATTAAATAAAATTCCGTTCTTTTGTTCTCCCTTCCAAAAAATGAACAATTTCACGTTTTCCCATATTGTACTCCACTTGCCAACTGCTTGCACACTTAATCTATCAACATCTCTCTGTAAATTGCTTGCTTCCCTCTCACAACTTATCTTTCCACCTATTTTTGTATCATCTGTATATTTGGCTACAACAGGTAAAGCAGGATACTGGGAACTACATGCAGAAAAACTACTGATGTCGTCAGTTTAGGGATGAGAAACAACAACAAGTGGCCACGAATTGATGTCAATTTGTCACTAGAGATAACTGTGTGGGTATGGGAAGAGATAGCATTGATGCAGATTCTCTGGCTACAACTAAACAGGATGAGAATTGGCCCAGCAAAGCACAGCCTCATGCAGATGGATGGTGATGGAGATGTAGAGGAAGATATCATCAATTGCTTCAAAGGTTGCCGACAGTTTGAAAGAAGGGGACATAGTCACCTTTGTCTCAGTCACATTGAACATCATTGTGATTTGATAAGAGCCATGGTACATAAGCCTGATTGTAGGGATTTAAACCTGGAGTTCCAAGAAAGGTGAACTTGGATGTGGAAGGCAACGTGTTCATAGAAATTTGGAAGAAAAGGAATGTTAGAGATACGATAGAGAGTTTGTAACGATGTAGGAAACAATGTTTTCTTAAGGGCTGATGAGAAATCTGAAGCAGAGAGAATCAATCAACAATGGCAGCTAAAATATTTTATACTTTGCGCTAACATTAAATGTCAAAAATGTTTAGATCTATTACAATTGTTCAATTTCTAAACTAGAAACGTTTCCCACAGTAACAACTTACCTTTACGAGTATCCTTTAAGACAGAAAAACAGTCCAATATACTTCAGACATAAAATGAAACTAAAATTGATATCAACACAGAGGGAGAAATGCTAGGTGGTGACTAAAACGTTGCTCAAAGAGGTGGGTTTTAAAGGAAGAGTCGGATAATTAAAAATAGATATCACTGCATGTCTGAAATGGCATTAAGAGTCGGGCACGTTTGCTGGCCTTGTTAGTGATACTCACATCCCATAAAATACTTTATGAAAGATTAGAATAATGCACTAGTGCACCATGAGTCAGGAAGGAAATGGTGAATTTCAGAACTTAACCGGTGCTTCTCAGGGAGCAGTCAAGAGCATTGTTCAAAGTAAACGGAGAATTAGCTTTAAGAACTCTCATGAAGGTTTTTTTTTTATTTCAAAACGAAATGTCTGCAGCCCATGAACAGTCTACCTATCAACATTCTCAGTTGCATACATTTGTGTGGTATGGTTTTAATAAGTATCTGGTGTTAGTGTGTAAATGAATTTTAGCAGTCTGAGTAGTTTTTCCTTGAAGTTTACTTTCTTGTTGTCCTTCCCAACCAAAGAAAACCAAAACAGCCAAACATCAGAATGTTATTTGAACTCCAAAGGCTACCATTGTAGGGGCTAACTGCAAAGTGGAGTTCTATTCATTGGAATACAGCAAGTCAGGGTGATTTAATTGGAGGTTTTTGGATTATAAAATGAATTGATAGGCTGGATAGAGAGAAACATTTTCTGATGTTACAGCCTAGGGCAGGGGGAGATATCTTTAAAATCAGAGCATGGGCATTGAGAAGAAAAGGTTGGGTGGTCCATTTTAGGCTGTATGGCAAAAAAAAGGTGGTAGTAGAATAGAACTCTGACCCAACCAAAAAAAAATTGCCTTTTTTTCATGTCCTCTTATGCTGAGGTGAGAAGCAAGATATCTATTCTTCTGCCATTTCCTCACTATTATAAACTCTAAATTCTTATACTCTAGAACATTAATACATATTTTTCCTACTTTATAGCCTTTTTAGATACCTACAGAAGCTCATAGAATCATAGAATCCCTACAGTGTGGAAACAGGCCTTTCGGCGCAACAAGTCCACACCGAACCTCAGAGCATCCCACCCAGACCCATCCACCTATAACCCACCGAATCTACACATCCCTATGGGCAATTTAGCATGGCCAATCCACCTAACCTGCACATCTTTGGACTGTGGGAGGAAACCGGAGCACCTGGAGGAAACCCATGCAGACACGGGAAGAAAGCTCTTGACTATCCGTTTCTATATTTCGAGCCTCCTCTCACATTAATGTCTTTCTCCTGAATAATCTTTTGTCATTCTGTCATTCTTTATATTCTGATCAGCTTTGAACAATGTTGTGCTTTTTAAAGTTTAATTCTTTGCTTAACCTCTCTCGTTAATCAGGGTGGTATGTCCTCCCCTTAGAATTTTTCTTTAAAGTAGGAATTTACTAATTTTGAGTATTCTGAAATATTCCTTACCCGAATACCTCTGCTTCTGTATGATTTATCTCCTCGCCAAGTACTCCAGAATGCCCACATAGCTTCCCTTAAGTTTAAACCACTAGTCTTGGACCCACTCTCTCCCTCTCAAATTGGATATAAAATTCAATCATATTGTGGTCACTACAACTGGGAATTGCTTTTACTCAGAAGAGATTAGTTGATCCTATCTTATTACACAGTACCAGGTTTAACAAACTTCCTACCCATCCTAGCCCTGCCTCTTGCCTTCCATTCCACCCACCGACCCTCCCTTCCAGCTACCAACTGGATTCAGCCCTCCCATCGACCAACCATGTTGTACCTACTACCGGTGTCCACCCATCACCGCCATTCCGCTACCTCTTCCCACCACTCCCCCTGATTACTGTTTATCTGCAGCTCCCCCGACCCCCACATCCAGTCCTGAAGAAGTGTAATATCCAAAACGTTGACTTCTCCTTTCTTCCAGATGCTGCCTGGCTTGCTGTGTTCTTCCAGCCTCCTGTTTGTTCATCTTGGATTCCAGCATCTGCAATTTTTTGGTCTCTAACATTCTCTTCGGGCCCCTTGTGGCACAGTGGTAATGTTCCCACCTCTGAGTCATAAGGCCTGGGTTCAAATTCCACCTGCTCCAGAACTGTTTAATAACATCTCTGACCAGGTTGTTTAGAAATTATCTAAAATATCTATAACCTGCTCTATGGTTGGTCCATGCTGTACTTAGAAATTTAAAAGCATTTTGAGTTTCTCATCCAGACTACCACTGCCAATCTGATATTTCCAGTTTGTCTGTCAATTAAAATTACCCATGATAAAGGGAATGCAGACCCTTTGTCACTAGTATCCAACATTTCTCTTTGCATATTTCAACCTCCGTCGTGATTACTGTTAGCAGGCCTGTAGACTGCTCCAACAATTGAGTTCCTTCCTCTACAAGTCCCATCTCCACCCAATTCAATCTTACATCCTATCTCTTGAACCAAGATTATCTCAACATTTATCTAACTTCCTATTATTCTTGAATGTCACTAACTTCTGAATATTCAAGGCCTAAACTTTGCCATCCTACAGACATGTCTCCATAATGATTGTCAGAACATATTTACTTCAACGTGTACTGTCAATTTGTTTACTTGGTTATAAATGCTACATGGAGGCAGATACAGAGCTATTAACTTTGCCACTCTGTTACCTTTGTAACATTTAGTCTTGACTGTTAGTCCATTCTTAGCTTTTTTTCCCCTCTATCTTTTCATATCATTGGCTGACCTTCACCTTTCATATTCCTATCTGGCTCTCCTGTTTTACCCCTCCTCCTTGATTTGCTGCATCTATCCAAATTTAATCTGCTACTTCTCAAGTTTAATCCCTACGCCACCGTGTTTAGTTTGAAGCCCTCTCTATTTCCCCAGTTACACAGCTTGCTGAAACACCTATTCCAGGAAGGGTCATACAAAGGTGGTCCCAAGAGTAGATTCCACTTTCCCCAGTGCCAAACAAAATGGAACTCATTTTCCCCCAAACCATTTTTTGAGCCATGTGTTCATTTCTGTAGTCTTATCTGCTGTATGCCAATTTATCCATTCTTCAAGTAATAATCTTGAGGTGATTACTTGATGTTCCTTTATAATTTAGTACCTAGCTTCTTATGCTCCTTATGTCATTGATACGAAGTGGACCACAATCACTAGACCCTCTCACTGCAAGTTCTTCCCAAACCTCAAGCAGATATCCCAAACTCTACTGCTGGCCAGACAATGCAGCTATCTGACCTCTCACATTTTGCTGCAAATAGATGAATTTTCAGTAAATGCTGAAATTGAAGTGTTATCGAAATCTCACATATAATTACTGCAAAAATTAACAAAATAGTTAAGATGTCTCCACTGCAGAGAAATTTAATAGTGTTATAAGGTAGCTTTAACAAATGTCAGTTGGATTGCCATTTTTCAGCAAAATAGTGCTCAATATGAAGAGGCACATTTTCCATAGTATTAGCTTCAATGTCAAGAACATAAATTTGTTTTCATATTTGATATTAGAAACAGTGTCAATTTTTAATTCCTGCATTTGAAATCTATTACTGTCCAAACATGTTCAGCAGTATTTTTGTGTTCCGACTCACCATAATTTTGCAGCAATTCTTCCTTAGTTGAAACTAGCAGGGACCGGTCTTTCCCAGAAAATACAACAGCAAGGCAAATGAAGTGTTGGTCAGAGGAGTTTGATCTTCTAACAAGGGTAAGAAGTCTAACAGGATGATTGCTCATCGGAGTACTAAGCTTCTCAATGCAAAACCAAGTTGAATAAGTCAGTCCAGAAGGTGGTGGAAAAAATCGTTCACCTGAAAAAAATTGCAATATTTTAGAAATATACCCATATAAATTCTGTCATATTTGTACAACAAATACAAATAGAAACCTGGTTTTCCGTTTAGATACACCTCACAACATACAATATTACGTCAAGCTTAATGCATTAAATGCGCAAATCTTAGTGATATGCAGGCACTTCTAAAACATTTATGTAATTTTGTAAAAACATAGGAATGCCCCCATCTCTAGGCCAGAAAGTTAGCGTTCAATTCATCACCTGCCGCAGAGGTAGATCATACCATGTCAGAAAATAACAAAGTCTAATGATGCTGATTCTCTATTGGAGTGAAGCAAGGCAAAATCCCTGTCTATCACTTTCACCAATAGAGATTCCACTTCAAAATGCTGCATGTAGATACTGGTGTCTATGCTGTCTTAAAGATGCCCATCAGACACTGTCAGTGGAAGACAACAGCAAGAATGCATGGGCTCTGGTCAAGGAGAGACGGAACAACAGGTTAAAAAACAAAGTTTCCAAGATAGTTTCTTATTCTTGTGAGGGCATAAGAGTCCCCTTGATAAATGATCCTTGAAGTACAACTACCAATAGTTGGATACTGTTGGATATTTCAGTAGGTACAAAATTCAGTTCATGCCTGCTCTCAGTTGATACTGTCCTTGCCCGTTTAATCATGAGATGCATCTGATAGAATTTCCAGAGAATGTTCCCAGAGTTCTGACTGTGTAGGTATGTGTAAGGATGGACAGAATAGGTACCTAGCCTGGCACGTTCAGAATTCTGGAGGCTTTATTTTCCAACAGGCATTTGATCTTGATTTTTGTGCCAATACCACAACTCCACACAATACCCACTACAAAATATTGTTTTAACATAAATGTTGAAAATGATGGATAACATCAACTACCTCTCATGGAGCTTGTTAGTTGTGGAAAATGTGTTATCTGTAATATGAATGTCCAGCCACCTAATGCTTCCAGGTGATTAAGAAAGTCATGGTGTGGATCACTGGATTCAAAATTAAATGTAAACAAGAAGCATGCTTTGTAGGCCTCAGCAGAAAATTAGTGTGGGGAGTTGGAAATGATGAACACAGATCTATACCCTTTAATTTTAAACTTCTCCTTAAGGGGTGGAGGAAAAGGGAGTATCTGATGGATGCTGTAGTTGACTTTCAGATCCCTGCTCTCCAGCAATTCAGAAGGTAATAGTACTATAATCCAATCGCAATCTCCAAATTCGGCACAGATCTGAGTGAAGCTGAATTGTGATGTATGGCTAAACTACCGACTGAAATAAACTCACTAAACCATCAAGTAAACGTTAGCTTTGAATGATTTCAGTTCAGTTACAAGCAAGATTAGATGGCAAAGATTAGATAGTTGGATAGTTCTGAAGCTGCTGATTTACTCAACTATTTTTAACCTCCACTTTTGATATCTTAGACCACAATAAAACCATTACTCTCTCACCCTAGCTGTTGACAACAAGTATACAAATTAGGAGCTGCAAGTCATTTGGTTCCTTGATACTGCTACTTTACTGTCAAATCTTTATCCTACATCCCTTTGACTTCCTGCTCAGTCAAGAATTATGCATAAAATTAATCAGATGCAAAGACGGACAAGATAGGAAGGAACTTTTCCCGTGATGGAGGTATCAATGACCAGGATTCAAGTTGTATGGAAGCAGGTCATTCAGTCCATACCTATCCTCCAACCAGCATCCCACCCAGGCCCACCCCACTACCCTATCCCTGAACCCTACATTTCCAACGGCTAATCTACCTAGCCTGCAAATCCCTGAACACTATGGGCAATTTAGCATGGCCAATCCACCTAGCCCGCACATTTTTGGACTGTGGGAGGAAGCCAGAGCACCTGGAGGAAACCCACGCAGACACGGGGAGAATGTGCAAACTCCACAGTCAGTCGCCCGAGGGTGGAATTTAACCCAGGCCCCTGGCATTGTGAGGCAGCCACGCTAACAACTGAGCCACTGTGTTGCCCCAGTTGTTGAGCCCACCCCATGGGTAGTGCTATTCTCCTGTTAAAGAATAGCCAAATTAATTCCGGAAAAGTATGTTAGCTTCCTACAACCATCCTCAATTCTTTACATCCACTAAAACACATTGCTAAACAGCCTGAAACACTACAATCTCTTTAATGAGTTTTGTGAAAGGAAGGTTAATTGCTTCAAAGTTTTTCTACACAAAAATAATTATTTTCTAAGACTCTATACAAAACTAAATTCCCCTTCTTCACCATCAAACTAACCATTCAGACCACATAGAAAATTCAAGGCTATGGGTCTAGTGTGGAAACGTGAGACTAGAGTAGGTAGTGGTATATTCTTGGTGGTACAGACTCAATGGACTGAAGGGCCCTTTCTATACTTGTACAATTCCATGATTCTATGACAATAAACAACTCCAGAAGAAGGGAAAGATGATGGTTGATAAAGCTTCCAAAAGTCTTATAATTTCATTGAAGTGAAAGAGGAACAGAGGGAACCAGCCTGTCATCGATTAAATAGAAACTACAGGACTAGCCAAACCGCACTTACTTTTGAAAGAAGCCAAAGCTGACTAAGGGTGCATTTACACTCCAAGTTGTGAAGAAGAATTCTTTCATTCAGAGAGTCATGAGAATCTAGAACTCATTGCCTGTAAGGGTGGTAGAGGCAGAAACCCTCATAACATTTAAGTGGTATTTTAATTTGTCTGTGGCATGGTGGCTCAGTGGTTAGCACTGATACCTTACAGCGCTACAGAAATGGGTTTGATCCCACCCCCAGATGACTGTGTGGAATTTGCACATTCTCCACATCTGTATTGATTTCCTCCGGGCGCTCCAATTTCCTCCCACGTCCAAAGATGTGCAGGTTAAGGGGACTGGCCATGGGAAATATAGGGTTACAGAGCTGGGATAAGGGAGAGATGGGTCTGGACATGATGGCCTTTTGGAGGGTCAATGTGGACTCAATGGGCTAAATGGCCTGCTTCCACACTGTAGGGATTCTCTGATTCTTTGAAATGTTCTCTTCACAACTTATTATACTCTATTCACAACTTTTGACTTCCATAACTTTGGGTCATCAGTAAATTTAGCAAACATACATTCAGTTTCTTTACCCAAGCCATTAACATGGATCGAAATAGTTGAGGCACCGTCACTGATTCCTGTGGCATTCCACTCGTTACATCTTACAACCTATAAATGACTACTCTCTTTCCTGTGAGCTAGTCAATTCTCTATCCATGTTAATATGTCACTGCTGTACCACAAACCTTTACTTTGTGTCATAACCTTAGATGTGGTACCTTGTCAAATGCTTCCTGGGATTCCAAGTACACATTATTATGAAACAAAAATTGTCTCTGGACCCAAAACATTAACTGTTTTCTCACCACAGATGCTGCCAGACCTGAGTTCTTCCTCAGCAATTTCCATTTTTGTTACTCATTATTGTTATTTCATCAAAGTAAATTGGTTAAACGCAAATTCCCATTCACAAAACCATGCTGGCTGTGCCTAATTCTGAGATTTTTATAACCAATGAATTTACTATCTCAGCAGTCACTGCTTTTAACACCGTGGAATGAATTCCATTAGGACCTGAATACTCATCAGCCTTTAGTTCTAATAACTTTCCCAGACTACCCTTTACCCTGGTGAATGTAATTATTTTAAATTTTTTATCCCTTTTACCTCTTGATTTATAATTATTTCCAGGATGCTATTTGTGACCTTTCAGTGAATACAGACATAAAAAATATATGTTCACTTGATCTACGAATTCCTTATTTTCCCGATTAATTCCACCAGACTCTCACTCTAGAGGGCCAATACATGCTTTCACTGACTGTTTCCCTTTTAAGTATCGGTAGAATCTCTCAATATCTTATTTGTTTCTATTTTTTTTAGCTAGCACTCTCTGACTCTAAATTCTCTTGTAATTATTTTTTGGTCATTCTTTTCTGTTACTTATATTCTGTTCAATATTCTGGGCGCATTTTTAAGGTGAGGCAGGGACAGAGATTTAAAAAAGGCATGAGGGGCAAGTTTTCTTTTAAACAGCAGATGGTTTGCATGTGGAATGAACTTCACGAGGAAGTGGTGGATGTGGGTACAATTATAACATTTAAAAGACACTTGGATAAGTACGTGAAGAGGAAAGGTTTGGAGGGATATGGGCCAGGAGCAGACACGTGGGACTAGTTTAGTTTGGGATTATGTTCGGCATGAACTGGTTGGACCGAAGAGTGTGTTTCCGTGTTGTATGACTATGTACTAATTTATTTATTGGTTGTTTACTTATTCATTTATTCATTCACGGGATGAGGGTGTCGCTGGCTAGGCAGCATTTATTGCCCATCCCTAATTGGCCAGAGGGCAGTTAAGAGTCAAGCACATTGCTGTGGGTCTGGAGTCACATATAGACCAGGCCAGATAAGGATGGCAGTTTCCTTCCCTAAAGGACATTAGTGAACCAGATGGGTTTTTCCCGACAATTGACAATGGATTCACGGTCATCATCAGACTGTTAATTGCAGATATTTAACGAATTCAAATTCCAACATCTGCCGTGGCAGGATTCGAACCTAGGTCCCCAGAACATCATCTGGGTCTCTGGATTAACAGCCCAGCGATAATACCACTAGGCCATTCCATTGCCTTCCCATGATTTTATGGTTTGTATGGTTTTACGTATAGCTTTCCCTTTGCACCTCAGGTCTGAGGAAGCAGACTTGAAAGGATATGGCAGACAATGGATTAAATCCAGATGCCAGATCTGGTTGCTTCATAAAATGCTATTCAATCCTGCTCTTATCTGCTAAAACTGTTCACTTTTCCAAGATCATCCTGAAAATGCAAAGAAAACCCTAACAGGGTCTCTCTTCTTTTGAAAGCCATCTCAAATCCCTCTCTCCTGTCCTCATTTCCAACAACTAGCGACGACCTCATGGACTTTTTTGTTCTAAATATCAACTCAATCTGATGAGCGGCATCTGTCAAATCATTTCCTTCCATTAGCTCATCCAGTTAAATTTCCTTTCATACTCCCCTCCTGCCGTAGCCTTGAACTCGCATCCTTCTCCAGTTTTCCACCTATTTCCCATTATGTCCTCTCCTTCCCAGCCCCGATACAAGCCAATTCTGTAAACTATTCTCTCCTTTAAATCTGCCAGGGAAAGGCATTGCAAAGACATTTCTTTCTGTTCCTGCACCATTATCTCTTGGTGACCCCCAAGGATCAATCGTTGGCTCTCTCCTGTTTCCTATTTACATGCTGGCACTCAGCTACATCACCCGATGACACAGGTTTCCCTTTCGCATGTACACTGACGACATTTAGTCCTCCCTCACCATGCACCTCTCATGACTCCCCCATTGTCTCTAAGTTAGATTTTTGGACATCCAGTGTTGGATGAACAAAAATATCCTTTAATTTCCTTCTAAGCATTGAAAACTGAAGCCCAAGATTCCATCCTTCTCTCCCAGAACAGTCTGAGATTAATCCACTTTGTTTGCAACTGTGATGTCACATTTGATCATGAGATGAGCTTTAGATCTCATTTATGCCATCTCTATTACTTTATCTGGTGTTCTGTTGAAACCCTCATTGTGCCTTTGATTAGCCCTAGACTTGACTTTTCTAATGTACTGCTGGCTTGTTTTCCACAGTAAAACTGAGGCTATTAAAAATCATGTTACTCATGTTTTAACCCACTGAATGACCCATTGTTATCATACCTACATTAGTTCACAAACAACATCTTGATTTTAAGATTCTCTTCCTTGTTTACAGATCTACTGCAGACCCACAACCTTGTGAGATGGCTGCCCTCTCCTAATTTATGCCATTTGACTATCACCTTCAACTGCCCAGGCACCAATCTCAAATTATCGCCCGATACCATCCACATCTCTGCACTGGTTTCCTTCTTGAAGGCACTCCTTAAAACCTACCCCTCTGGCCCAATTCTCATTGTGTGGTTCGGAGTGTCATACTTATTCCTTGGGATGTTTCATTACATTAAAAGGCACATTGAAACAAAAGAGAATAATGTTGTGGCTGGTGGTTGTTGGTTGTTGTATATATTTATTGCAGTTTTATTTTTGAAAAACTAAAATAAATCATACTATTCACTCAAGTATTTCCCCCACCTGCCCCTGCAATCACTATTAAAATATGACTACTGCTGCTGCCACACATTTCATTTTTACCTGTACCAAGTCCACTGGTAACAGCTCCGTCATTAACACCTCCTGCAGTGGTAGCAGCAATGTTGGGTGCATTATGGGGAGCCAAACTAGGCAAGAACAGACAGCTGAAAAAGAGAAAGTAAAGCACCTGTGAAGGCACATCAAGCAGAAAGAATGACCACTACAATGGAACCTCCAATATCAGTAACACCTGTGATAATGAACTGAAAATTACTTAACTGAAAATACTTTGGAATATTCAATGGATGTGACATGAGTTCTTCCTTCCTCCTCCAAATTTCAACTTGGAATTTTAACAAGGCTGTAAAACCAGGATTTCTTTCCCACTATTAATTACCCACGAACAGGTGCTGATCAACTGCCTCTGGAACCACAGTGATCCATGTAGTATAGTTACACTTGGTGAGCAGGTTGGTTGAAATTCTAGGATTTTGACCAAGCAATAATGTAAAAAGAGAGAGTAGGAGCTGCCGATGCTGGAGAATCTGAGATAACAAGGTGTAGAGCTGGATGAACACAGCAGGCCAAGCAGCATCAGA